CAGCAGGTGTTTTTACACAGACATCAGCAAGTGTTCTGAACGCAGACTCTTTTTCTCCTCGCCATGAAACATTTAGAAGCACACCACTGGACTCAGGGCTCCTGTCCCAAGAAAGCCAGGCAGTGGCTGTATCTTCTTTTACGACCCAGCCTTGCAAATCTCTTAACAGTGACGCGTCTGCGGTGCTCTGAAAGTTGAAGCAGTCACAAAGGTCTGCCCTTGTCAAGGGGAGGGGTGTGGACTCTTAATGGAGGGCCATCAAGCCCTAGAAAAGCCTGTGACAAAGGAGACGTTATTATATTATGGATGGAAACTGCCTGCCAGTAGCATCCCCTAGTCACCGCCCCAGTCAGCCAGTCAGTAAAGTCACGACACCCCTCCCCCCAATGCACAGAGTCCCAAACCCTCAGACAGCGGGGCATTGTCGTGCCTTCCACGTCCCATACTGACTCAGCCAGTAGTTGGCATTCAGCTGTGTGGGCATTATGGCCATAAGGCTCCCTGTGGCCCTCAACAGAGAGTCCCAAACAAGGAATTTGTTTTGTTTTTCGTTTTTAAATGTTAATTTTATTTTTGAGAGAGAGAGAGAGAGCATGTGCATGTGGGGGAGAGGCAGAGAGAGAGGGAGATGCCAAATCCGAAGCAGGCTTCAGGCTCTGAGCTGTCAGCACAGAGCCTGACACAGGGCTCGAACCCACGAACCGTGAAATCATGACCCGAGCAGAAGTGGGACGCTTAACCGGCTGAGCCACGCAGGCACTCCCCAAACAAGCATTTTGCATACTCAGGGCTCATAAGGTACATCCGTTGAAGGCCCTTGCTCCTTGGTGAGATCTGCCTGGACTCATTTTGTCATGAGACCACCCTGGCTCCAGAGACCCCTTGCTTGCCAGCGTCCAGCACATTCTTTTTCTGTTTTGTTTTTGTTTTTGTTTTTTTGTTTTTTGTTTTTTTTACCACTACATTCTTGAGAACTAAGCTAGGAAACCACACTCCGGTGAGTTTCACATCCATGACAGGCAAATGGGTACACTTGCTATTAAATTGTTGCTAATTATCAATGCCACTAAGAACCACTTGGGGAAAAGCACGCCTCGTCTCTTGAAACCTGTCTTATAACCAATCACTGAGTCAGGGTGAAGGGGGTTTTAGGTCCCATGTGGGTGGATCCTAGCCTGATACCGGCTTCTTTCTTAACAAAACCTTAATCAACTGATTTCAAAATAATAACAGCTGTCATGAGTTGAGCACCTCCAGACATCAGACGACATAACGACATAATGGACATTAGACTGTTGAAGCCTGTTAACCCAGGGCAACCTCCCATGATCGTTTAGCCCATTAAACAAGATGATGGGATTCAGTGAGATGACCCAGCTTAAAGGCTCAGCGCAGTGGCTTAATAAGGGCCCAATAAATGTCACCAGATGAAAGAATCGTAGCTCAACGGCTATCCGTCATTCTTTTATGATGGATAATAATAATAGCAACTAACATAATTTGGTGTTCAATATTAATTTAATATCACCCTTCTATCTGAGATATCAGCGGTTTTTCTTAAGTGCTTTGCAAATATTAACCCAGTTCATCTTTACAACAACCCTGTTAACATCCTCATTCTCAGAGAAGGAAATGGCACTAACAGCTTGAGCGATGTGCCCTTGATCATATAACGAGCTAGAGGCAGAGCCAGAACTTGAACCCAGGCTGGCCAGGATCCAGCCACAAGGTGCTGATCGCTGGGCGACTCTGCCCCAATGGGGAAAATGAAATGAGCTTCTCACTAGGTCTGGAGCCCAGTCACTGAGTTCTTGCCAAGTAAAGGTGTTTCACCTTGCCATGCCTCAGTTTCCTCATCTGTGGAGTGGGTTTCTGATGTGATGACCCATTCGTTCATTCAATGAACATCTCTTCATTGAACACCTACTGTGTGTCCGGCACTGGTGTGGACAGCGTGGTGTGTAGTATACAGAAGAAACAACTCTTCCTCGTGGTGATTACAATGCGGTTAGGGAGACAGGCAGTAAAGAAGGTATTAAGTAAATTATATACACTTATGTGTGTGGTGCATTAAGAGGTGGTAAGAGGGGCGCCTGGGTGGCTCAGTCGGTTAAGTGTCGACTTCAGCTCAGGTCATGATCTTGTGCTCCATGAGTTCGAGCCCCGCTTCTGGTTCTGTGCTGATAGCTCGGAGCCTGGATGCTGCTTCGGATTCTGTGTCTCCCTCTTTCCTCTGCTCCTCCCCCACTCGCACTGTGTCTCTGTCTCTCAAAAATAAATAAACGTTAAAAATTAAAAAAAAAAGAGGTACTAAGAGCTTTAGAGAAATATAAAGTAAGGAAAAGCGAAGGGGGAGTCGGTGGTGGTCAGGAGGCCCTGAAATTGTAAATAAGGGGCCCTTCTCATGGAGACGTTGACATCTGAGCCAAGACTTGAAGTATGGAGGTGAGCATAGAAATTCTCTGGATCCGGGGGGCAGGACCCTGAGGCGTGGGGGCCGGTGTAGCTGGGCAGAGGGGGTGAGGGCGAGATGGCGGTAAGGAGGTGAAGGCCGCAGACAGTGTGAGAGCCTGTAGGCCACAGTGAGGACTCTGCCTTTATTCTGAGTGAGGTGGAGCCTGAGGGGGATTTCCGAGCAGGACAGGGACAGGACCTGACTCAGGTGCTTGCCCCGACCCGGCGACTAGTATGGAACAGACAACTGGGGAAAGAAGCAGAGAGACAGTGATGAGCCAGGTGGGAAGTGAATAAATGGACAAGATCCCCAAGGGACTGAGTGGTGATGGAGAATACGGGAAGTTCAAATACCAATCCCTGACATGGCCAGATCAGAGGGAGGATGGACAGTCAAGGGGACTCAGAGCCACCGGGAGGGGTCCAGAGGTTGTGGTGGCTTGGGGCCAAGTGAAGAGGGACTAACCCTCCATGTCAGGTGCTGCGAACAGGTCAAGCAAGGTGAGGACTGAACCCTGACTTGGATTTAGCACCAAGGGGGTCACTGGTGACTTTGAAATTTCAGGGGCACAAAGCCTGATTAGATAAGATTTAAGAGGGAACAGAAGTAGAAAATACGGAGGCAGAGACTGGAGACAGCTTTTTTGAGAAGTTTTACCATAAAGAGGAGCAAAGAGGGGCGCCTGGGTGGCTCAGTCGGTTCGGCATCCGACTTTGGCTCAGGTCATGATCTCACCGTTTCTGGGTTGGAGACCCGCATCGGGCTCTGTGCTGATGGCTCAGAGTCTGGAGCCTGCTTTGGATTCTGTGTCTCCCTCTCTCTCTGCCCCTTCTCTGCTCATGCTGTCTGTCTCTCTCTCAAAAATAAACCAACATTTAAAAATTTTTTTAAAAAAGGAGCAAAGAAATGGGGGCAGAGCTGGAAGGGAAGGTGAAGTCAAGAGAGGGTTTGTTTTCGGATGGGAGGGATGACTGTGTGGACTGCTGAGAATGATCTGGTTTGGAGGGGAGCCCAAGGCACCGCAGAGAGCGGGGAGAACCTGACACGGAGTCCTGGAGTGAACGGAGGGGTGGGAGCAGCCCACGCACGGGCATGACATTTGCAGGGCTTGCAGGGCCGTCACAGGGGAAAGCACAGAAGCCACGGGGCAGGTAGGTGGTAGACAGGGTGGTGGGTACCTGTGAAAGTTCACTTCTCATCGCTTGTGGTTTTTTCTGCAAAATAAGAAGCCAGGGGAAAGTGAAGAGGTGGAAGGTGATAAGCTAGGCTAGCGCCTGGGAGAAGGCGTGAAATAGTTACATATAGACAGGAGGGGATAAGAGAAATGTTCTCTAGCTGCTGGCTGCCCAGCCAGGGCAACGGCAACATTCAGAAGCGGGTGAGGGTGAAGTTCACAAACTTGACGTGAGACCGGCCAGTGGAGTTGTGTGTTCTTCGGCCACCTTAAACTGGGTAGGCAGAGGGCGGATTGAAGCCAGGTCACATGTTGGAGGGAGCCGGAGGCCAGGATGTATGCAAAGAATGTTTTTAACCGGTATCTAAGCAGTTTAAGCTGGATTAGGAAGTCATGAGGACCTGAGGGGTGAGGGGCGGTGAAAAGGAGATAGACACAAAGCATGGGGGAATCACAGTGGGCTGGAAGGATTGTGGGGATCTGTGGCACTGGAAGGAAAGAGCTGGAGAGAGAAAGGGTGATGGGTGGCGAGTGAGCTCCCGGAGACTGAGATTCTGAAGAGTCTGTGATTATTGAGACCAGGTCTAGGGGTGGCCATAGAAGGGAGGGGCCGAGAGGAGAGCAAGTCAGGGAACAGTGAGGCTAGTGGCCTAAGGATCAGCTACTTGGGTGTGGAAATCACCGGGAATGTTGACGAGAGCAGCTTGAGTGGCAGTGAGCCTGGAGCTAAAATCACGCAGCAGGTAGCCACCTGGGTCAGCACATGATGCACAAGGCGGTCTAGTGAACCATTTAGTCTGATGACACAGGAATCATACATGGGGACATGGAGAGTTTGGGGGGAGGGTGGAAGAATGATCTGGAAGCAGCACCAAGAGGCAAGATTTACCCACTTGGAAGGGCCACAGGGGAGCTGGGTTTTGGTTTGGAGCTAGGTGACAAGAATGTTCGGTGAAGAGATGGAGGAAATAGATTTTGCTAAAGACAGTTCAGAAGTTCCGAAGGCCCAAGGGGTTGGAGCAGGTTGGGCGATGGGGTGGATAGAGATGGTTTCCTCCTCGGTGGGTTTTTCTGTGTGTTCATGGTCATACATGTAAACTGATTGCATCGGCCAGATATGGAAGCCGTGGTTAGGAGTCGTGGGGGTCATGGTGAGATCAGGGGTCTTTTGCTGGAGGGGGAAAGGTGAGAAGCCGATCGCGCCCAGAGCCAATGGTCAGGAAATAGGTGCCCGGTGTTCACGGCCCTAGCAGGCCCCTGGTCCTCCACTGGAGCTGCTGGGGTCATGGTCAAGTTGCAGAGACCTTGCGTCCCGGGAGAGATGAAGGGAGGCCAAACTGCCCTGACCTGCTGACCCCTCTCAACCCGCAGGACTCCAGCGGCCTGAGATGGGCGCCCGACCTTCGCGGCGGCGGCTGCCCGCGGACCAGCCCATAGCCTTGGACGCGCTGCCCCCGGAGCTGCTCGTGCAGGTGCTGAGCCACGTGCCGCCGCGCGCATTAGTGACGCGCTGCCGCGCAGTGTGCCGCGCCTGGCGCGACGTGGTGGACGGGCCCACCGTGTGGCTGCTGCAGCTAGCCCGGGACCGCAGCGCCGAGGGCCGCGCACTCTACGCGGTGGCCCAGCGTTGCCCGCCCAACGGCGAGGACGAGGAGTTCCCGCTCTGCGCACTCGCGCGCTACTGCCTGCGCTCACCCCTCGGTCGCAACCTCATCTTCAACTCCTGCGGAGAGCGTGCGTGCCGGGGGCGGGGCCAGGGGCGGGACCAGGGGCGGGACCGGGGAGACCCAGGGGAGGGGGCTGGGCCAGGCTGAGTGGGCGTGGTCGGATGGCTGAGAAGGGGCGGGGCCAGGTCAGGCAGCCAGGGGGCGTGGCCGAGGGGAGAGGAGACTGGGAAAACTGGTCAGGGTGGGCTGGGAAAGAGACGGACTGGGAGGGAGGGGCCAGGTGCTGTGAGCAGTGAAGGAAGATGAATTGGATGGGCGAGAAAGAGCTGGAGGAGCCAAGAGTCGAGCCCCGGCAGGAATGACACGTGCTTGGACTGTAGACACAGTGGGCGGAGCTAATGGGGGAGGAGCCGGGGAGGGCTGGGAAAAGCCAATTGGGTGCTGGCGGGGGCGGAGCTTGCATAGAAATATGAAGCCGCAGTGAGAGCCGGTGGGGAAGAGGAACTGAGCGAGAGGGCGGGCCCAAGCAGGGGGACCCAGGAGGCTGCTGTAGGAGGCGATGGGGTCTTGATGGCAAGAGCCGGGGCTCAGAGAGAAGCCCAAGTGGTTAATGAAGTAGATGAAGGAAGACAGAACTGGGGGCGGGGCCGAGTGGGGCTGAGGATGAGCTGAGCGGAAGGACAGGGCTTAACGACGCAGTGGTGGAGCGGGACCAAGAATGCTGGCGGCTGGGAGGCGGGGCCAGAGTTGAAACCGGGGGCGGAGCGCTGGAGGGAGGAGTCGGTGGGCGGGGCAAGCTGGGCCGTGGCGGGCCTTCCGCTGGGCCAGCTGCAGGTGAATTCCTGGTCTTCAACCCTGTTGTATCCCACAGAGGGCTTCCGAGGCTGGGAGGTGGAGCACGGCGGAAATGGCTGGGCCGTGGAAAAGAACCTAACACTGGTGCCGGGGGCTCCTTCTCAGACCTGCTTCGTGACTTCTTTCCAGTGAGTGGCCCTTGATCCCTGGGGCAAGGGCCCCTGAGTTGGGAGGGGGACCCTACCTTCACCCTCTCCTTCCCTTATTGATTTATTCAGTCAGATATTTGTTGAGAGCCTGCCAGTACCAGCCTTGTTTTATATACCAGAGAGATACCAGGAAAGTTCAGAAATGGGGTGGGGGAGACATTAAACACATAAGCAGTGAAATAATAATGACAACAAGATGACAAACATTTAGAGGACTTACTCCATGCCCAATGCTTTACATAGAACTCTTTGAATCCTGGCAACAACCTGTGACATCGAGAGTTTTATCATCTCCACTTTATAATAGGAAACAGGCACAAAGCATAGCCAACATCTAGTAAATGGTGGAGCTGAGATGTGAACTCAGGTCACCTGGCTCCAGAGCCTCTGATTGTGATAAATTCTGTGGAGACATCAAACCGTTGACTGATTGGTTGATTCTCTCTATTCTCATACCTCTTACCCATTTTCCTTGTTCCCTCTCCCATAGTCAACCGTTCTCATGTGGCATCATCCCACTTGCTAGTACTTGCCAGTAGATTAGGCATGAAGTGATGTCTCACTGATGTTTTAATTTGCATATTTTGATTTACTAATAATTAAGCATCTCTCCATGTGCTTCTTAGCCTTTTGGAGTCCCTCTTTTGGAAAGTGCCTATTCATCTTTTCCATTAGGGTTGATGTCTTATTCTTTTTATACAAGAATTCCTTGTGTATTTTAGCCCCTTGTCCATCCTGGCCATTGTGGAAATCTCCCACTCTGCCATCTGTATCGACTGTGTCCATGGTGTTCTTTGTTGTCAGTTTCTTTTTTTTTTTTTTTTAATGTTTTATTTCTGAGAGAGGGAGAGAGACAGTGTGAGCAGGGAAGGGTCAGAGAGAGGGGGAGACACAGAATCCGAAAGAGGCTTCAGGCTCTAAGCTGGCTGTCAGCACAGAGCCCAACGCAGGGCTCGATCCCACGAACCCATGAGATCATGACCTGAGCCGAAGTTGGACGCTTAACCGACTGAGCCACCCAGGCGCCACTGTTGTCAGTTTCATGTATCAAATCTATCGCCTTTTTGTTTTAGAACCTGTTTTTGAAATTTTGTGTAAAAAACCATTCCCTACCCAACAGTATCTTCCACTACACTATTTCTATTATGACGGCGTATTCAAATTAGGGGAGGACTGTTTACAAAGGGGTAGGCAGACCACAAGGGATAGTGCATGAACCTCAGGCTTCTAACAGTGAGGGGACGGATCATCGCCAGCCCTGGGCCTGACAAGGGAAAGGGGAGGACGCAGCTCCTGAACCTGAGACAGGAAAGGGTATGCGGAGAGGGCCCTGTAGAGCTGTGCCCTTTCATAGAGAGACCTAGCAGTCCCAAGGTGATCCATTGGGAGGGAACCAGGAGGCTAAATAACCTCATTTTACTCTCCTCTCTCCTTTCCCTCTCCAGCTAGAGCTTCCTATTGGCTGACCCAACAGGAAGGGGAGACCGGTCCATACAGGCAATACACCCTTAGACCCTGGGCTTCTGCACTTTAGGAAGCTCCAGAATTCCCTGTTCAATGTGAGCCTCTATTTGTACTCCTGTTCCAGTCCCCACAAATATTAGGGACATAATAAGACTGTATCTGGAGGCTAGAGCCTGATGGAGAATGGTGGAGGGGGTGTGAGAGGCCAGTGGCAATGCCCAACCCATCATACATCTTGTCTGGTAGAGCACACCCCAAGGGAGGCTTCTTGGAGGAGGTGATTTCTGGCCTGTGACTTCCTGCCTCATCCCTACACCATCTCCCCTTTCCAGATGGTGCTTCAAGAGGCAGCTTGTGGACTTGGTGATGGAGGGGGTGTGGCAGGAGCTGCTGGACAGCGCCCAGATCGAGATCTGTGTGGCCGACTGGTGAGGAAAGAATGGCAGCCTGCCCCAGGCGTCGCCCGTGGTGGCAACAGTGGTGCAGAAGGGGCTCCCCTGGGCCCCCATAGACCCCCTGGGCTGGCCACTGCTGCTGTGCTCCCGTAGCGGGGCTGAGGGGGGTGTGATGCTCTCACAGTTGTAGAGGCAGGGAGGGGCAGAGCTTTGATGAGCCCAGAGCCCCTACTCTGCACTATTCCCTGTCGTCCTTCAGCAGGCCCCAGGGTTGTTGACATGGGGGTGATTGGCTGGCACCCCATCCCACCCACTCCACCCTCATCGCCCACACTCAGCATGGACCCTGAGGGCTTGTGGACACTCAAGGCCTCAGGAAGGTTTGGAGCACTGTGCCCTGAGTACTGAGACTCGGGGGGGGCGGTGCAGAGTTGGGACGGGAGCACTGATTCCAGAGCACTTGGGCTCTTCCTTCAAGCTCTCAGTCCTCAATCAAAGTATGGTTTCTTCCCTGGGGCTCTGGCTCCTCCCCCAGAAATACGTAGGCTCCTCCTCCCTGAGGCTGTGGTTCCTCGCAGACACCACACTCCTCCCCCTCCATACACACACACACACACACACACACACACACACACACACACACACATCCATACATCCATCCAACACAAAGCCTGGAAAATCCACCCCAGGGGCACCCAGTCTCCTTCCCACAAATTCCCAGGCCCTGACCTCTCTATGTGTAGTGTGAGTGCGTGCAACCCTCCCCCAAGTGCAGGGAGGCTTAGTCCTCAGCCTCCCTCTCCCCACCCCAGAGACTGGGTGGGTGGTGGGGGCATCAAGGCTCACCACCACCTGGCAGGTGGGGTGCCCGAGAGAACTGTGGATGCATCTACCGGCTCCGGGTCCGCCTCCTGGACGTGTATGAAAATGAAGTGGTCAAGTTCTCGGCCTCCCCGAACCCGGTCCTTCAGTGGACTGAGAGAGGCTGCCGACAGGTGGGTCCAGACTGCCTCCCAGACCACCCCTGACCTGCTCCAAGACACACCCTGCCTCTCCCCTGCTCGATCCCCTTCTCCACTCTTATCACGTCTGCCTATCTGTAACAATAACCGCTAACAATGCCTGAGGCCTTGTCCCAGGCCCTCTTCCAGATTCGCCTGCCTACTAATTCATTCCCTTACCACAACAGCCTCGTGGTTCAGCATGTTTATTGAGCACCTACTGTGTGCTGGGCACCGCTCCAGGTACTTGGGATGCAGTGGGAAACCAAAACCCTTGTTCTATCCCCTTTCAAGAGTTGAGAAAACCAAGGCATATGGAAGGTTGAGTGACTGGCCCCGAGATCCACACCCAGCCTGGCTCCCAAGCCGGTGCTGGCAGTCACTTCACCCGTCATCAAAGTAACCTTTGAGGTGGCCTTCTGGTTTCCTCTCCTGATCTCCTCCTCCCTGTCCCCCTCCTCACCCAGCACACGCCCAGACAGATCCCATAAACAAGTGAGTCAGATCACAAGCCTCCCCTGCTTGTAACCCTTCCGTGGCTACATCTCAGAGGAAAAGCCAAAGTTCTGTCACACACCCACCTGTAAGATGCAGTATGGACCCACGCTACAACATGGGCGGACCGGGCAATGTGATGCTAAGTGAAAGAAGCCAGGCACAAAAGGCCACATATTGTAGGAGTGCATTTATGTGAAATGTCCAGAAGCAAATCCCTCTAGAGAAAAAGCAGACTGACCGGAGGTTGCGGAGGCTAGAGGGAGGGAGGGATTGGAAGTGACAGCTAATGGATATGAGGCTTCTTTCTGGGCTAACGGAAACATTCCAGAATTAGATAGTGGTGATTGTTGCATAACATTTTGAATATAGGTTTAAAAAAAACCACTAACATGTACAGTTTAAACGGCCCATTTTGCAAGGCGAATATGATCTCAAAAAAAATTTTTTTTGCCAAGGATAAAAGCCAGAAGCCAAAGTCCTTCTGTGGCCCACAAGGCCCCACATGATCTGCCCCTTACCTCCATGACTCTGTCTCCTGGTCTCTCATTCTGCTCCAGATACACTTCTACCTCAGGGCCTTTGCACTGACTGCTCCTCTGTTCCAAACATTCTTGTTTTTGACCTAATCCATTCACATGGCTCTCTCCCCTCCTTCAGGTTTCAGCTTAGTGATGCCCTTGCTCACTCACTTTACAACCCCACCCTCCTGCATAATTCCCTCTGTCCCTTATCCCCAGCTGTCTTCAGGGTCTGAGTCCCCTACTAGACTGTCCCCTTAACCAGGACAGGGCCTTTTTGTTCTTTTTGTTCTTCGCTGCTGTAGCCCCAGCGCCTAGAGCAGGGCCTGGTACCTACTTTGATTACTTGGTCCTTGGAGCCGGGGGGGGGGGAGGTGTGGAGGTGGAGGAAGAGAAGGGCCCCACAGCTCCTCACCCTCCCGCTCTCCTTCCCCATACAGGTGTCTCATGTCTTCACCAACTTTGGCAAGGGCATCCGCTATGTGTCTTTTGAGCAGTATGGGAGGGACACGCGTTCCTGGGTGGGGCACTATGGCGCCCTCGTGACCCACTCCAGTGTGAGAGTCAGGGTCCGCCTGTCCTAGCCGACCAGCCTGAGCCAGCCTTCCAGAATGTACTGCCATCTGCCAGACATCATCATCGGTCAAAGGCAGCTTCGCAGCCGGGAGCCGGATGCCTGTGGACAGTGGGAGTCCCCCGCGGCCCATTCTGGGCACACCGCCAGTGAGCCCTGCTTGCTGCTGCTTCAGCATGGTGGCCCACGTGCTGTGCAAGACACCAGGGACCCGGGGCACTTGGGTGGCTCAGTAGGTTGAGTGACTCTTGATCTCAGCTCAGGACATGATCTCCTGGTTCATGAGATTGAGCCCTGCGTCAGGTTCCACGCTCACAGTGCAGAGCCGGCTTGGCATTCTCTTCCCCTCTCTGCCCCCCACCCCCATGCTCTCTCTCTCTCAAAATAGATAAAATAAAAAAAAAATAAACCAGGGATCCAACCAAGCTGCTCACAGCTTCCTGGGGTAGGGGGTGGGGAGTCAGAGGGTAACTTAGAGATGTTTCCTTTGTTGGCAAATGAGTTGCTTACATGTGTGGACTCCAGTTGGTAGCCAGGGTCAAAACACAGGCCAAACCAGGATTTCTAGTCGTAAGGAAAGCCACCGACCCTGGGACAGGGACACCAGTCAGCATGTTTCTAGAGCAAGATGATCGCTGATAGGGAGTCCAGACCGGGGCGGTCTGTCCTTGCGACCCACAGGGACATCAAAGGGAACACTCTCTGTAGTTTGGGGGAGGCTCTGGGGCCCTGGGCAACCACTGCGGGCCCCACCCATCAGCACCTGCCCTTTGGGCCAGGCTGGTGCTGCTGCTTTCAGAATTCCTGAGTCCCTGCCATCCCTGATCCTGCTTCCTGCCCCTACATGGGGGAGCTCCCCTCCTGCTGGGCAAAGACTCCCAGGAAGGAAAGCCCTCCTGCCACCTCCCCCTCCCCGGCTGGGCACAGCCAACAAACTGGCTCAATAAAATTGGTGCTAAATGTAAAGTGATGGCGGATTACTGTCTGTAGCCCGTGCCTTGTCCGCGCCCAGCCCTGATCTAAGAGGCCTTGTGGGACATTTCCAGCCAGGAGGACTTCAAGAGCTGTGCTAAGCTCCATGCAGGAAGCGGCCCGCAGGCGCTGTTCCTTAGTCCAGGAGGAAACAGGCTCAGAGCTTCAATGACCTGCCCAAGGTCACCTGGCCACGCCTTCCACAGAGCCCAAGGAGAGGTGGACAGCTCCCAAATCTTCAAATGTAACCCACCCCAGACAAGGTGAGGTCAGTACCACTCTCGGTGCCATTTCCTGAAGGAGGAAACTGAGGCCCAGAGTGGGGAACAGATACACCCGAGGTCACAGAACAAAGAGGGAGAGTCAAGATTTGGATCCAGGTGTGTGTTGAGTTCAACAATAACCCAAAAGAGCGGCTCCCACGCAGGCAGCTCCGATCTTTTCCGTGGCCCCTTCCACAAGTGAGGAAGCTTGAGGGCCACGCTCCTTGCCCAGATCCTGGGCCTGCAGGGAAGGGACCCACAGGGACCCAGCAACTTAGAATAGGTTGTTACCCACTTAGAGCATTGAATTTATACCAAGAAGGGGGTTATGTGAATGGAGCTATTTTCCGGACGAAAGCGAGGCCCATGGGGGATGTCAGTGGCTAATACCACGCAGAGGGTAGAGGCGCCTGGGTGGCTCAGTCGGTTAAGCAACTGACTTTGGCTCAGGTCATGATCTCACACTTTGTGGGTTTGAGCTCCGTGTCAGACTCGGCGCTGACAGTTGGAAGCCTGGAGCCTCCTTCAGATCCTGTGTCCTCCCTCTCTCTCTGCCCCTCCCCTGCTCGTTCTCTGTCTCTCAAAAATAAATAAACATTAAAAAAAAAACACGCAGAGGGTAAATACTGTGCACGAGGGTTCACGTCACAACCTTGGGGCTGGGGGCGTCTGTTGTTTATTGCGACTCCTTCCCAGCAGATGGCGGTACAGAGCCAGGGCCTTATCCCAACAGAAGAGGGCCCTGGAGCCAATGCTCCCTGTGGCCAGAGGGTGTGGCCTTTTACTAATTCACACCCAGAACCCCCACGGGCAAGCAGCGTTCCCGTCGGAAGAGGCGAAGTCAGGATCTGAACCCAGGCCCAGGTGCTTCCAGAGCGGGGGTAGCTTCCCAAGGCCACCGCAGGCACCCAGAGAGGAAAACGCCCGATCTGGGTGAAACCCCAGCCCCCTGGGCGGTCACTTCTTCTTCTGCACGTGGGCACAGTCGTACTTGCCGCGCACGACCGTGAGCTTGACGCCGGGCAGGTCCTGGGTGCGGCCGCCCTCCACCAGCACGACATGGTGCTCCTGCAGGTTGTGGCCCTCTCCGGGGATGAAGCACACGGCCTCGCGGCCGGTGCTGAGCCGCACGCGGCAGCACTTGCGGTTGGCCGAGTTGGGTTTCTTGGGCTTCCGGATGAAGGTGCGCAGAACCACTCCCTTGAGCTGCGGCCGCCCCTCCGTGGGGCCCAGGGGCGTAGGCGGCCGCTTGGGAAGCCCCCGGCGGTGCATCTGGTTCAGGGTGGCCATGGGGCGGGTGGCCCAGAGCTGGGGGGCCAGGGCTAGGCCTGGGGACACACAATGGGGAAGGCACGGGGCGGGGGGGGGGGGGGGGGGGGGGGGGGGGGGGGGGGGGGGGGGGGGGGCATCCCAATGATCCCAATGAACGGCTAAGACTTCTAGGCACCGTTGCGAGCCCTTTTCTAAGGATGGAGTTGTTTCCCTTTGGAGGTGGTTGCTGATAATAGCAATAGAGTCACCGATCGGCCACCATAGGTCGGGCTCTAACTTATTTTTAAAAATTTTTAATGTTTTTTTTTTTTTAAAGTTTTATTTATTTCTAGGAGAGAGAGAGAGCGTGAGCAGGGGAGGGTCAGAGAGAGAGGGAGACACAGACTCTGAAAAAGGCTCCAGGCTCTGAGCTGGCAGTCAGCACAGAGCCCGACGCGGGGCTCGAACCCACGAACCGCGAGATCATGACCTAAGCGAAAGTCGGATGCTCAACCGACTAAGCCACCCAGGTGCCCCTTTAATGTTTATTTTTGATTGAGAGAGAAAATGAGAGAGCAGGGGAGGGGCAGAGAGAGAAGGAGACACAGAAGCCCAAGCAGGCTCTAGGCTCTGAGCTGTCAGCACGAGCCAACGTGGGGCTCAAACTCAGGAGCAGTGAGCTCATGACCTGAGCAGAAATCAGATGCTTAACCGACTGAGCCACCCAGGCGCCCCGGTCAGGTTCTACTTTAAACGTTTAACGTGAATTGACTCATTTGATTCACAAGGAAGATGCTGACATTTAATGCTGTTTACAAATAGTAATAAACACAAACAGATTCAGGGGCGCCTGGGTGGCTCCGGTGGTTGCGCGGCCGACTTCAGCCTCAGGTCATGATCTCGTGGGTTTGTGGGTTCGAGCCCTGGGTCCAGCTCTGGAACCCGGAGCCTGCTTCAGATTCTGTGTCTCCCTCTCTCTCTCTGCCTTTCCCCTGCTCGTGCTCTGTCTCTCTCTCAAAAATAAATTAACATTAAAAAAAATTGTATTTTTAAAAAGCAAACAGATTCACACCATGTCGTGTACTGTTCTATGCACGGTACCTATATTAACTCATGTCGTCTCCACAGCAACCCAATGGGGTGTTTCTGGGAGGTGTCCCCCTCCTCCCTGTGACGCCCATTTCACACCCAAGTTTTATACCCCCTCCACATCCAGGGCAGGCCCTGGCCCACATCTCTGTCTCATGTTACAGCAGAATCCTCAAAGGGGATGAGACGTTCCTAGAAGTCTCTTCCCAGCCGTGTGCCCTTGAGCAAGAACTCTGCCCCTCAGTGACTCAGTGGCCTCACTGTATCACAAACACCATAATCACGTCTCCCTCTTGAGCACGGTGTGTGAGAGGCCACCAGGAGATGCGTGTCAGGCTAACCCAGATTTCCCAGGCAGGGTGTCAGCCTGTCCAGTGCTCCTGGGGGAGTGGCAACCAAAAAGTGCTTCATGGGAGATAGCAGAGTGAATAAGTGAGTGAAAGAGGGCATGGCCATGAGAGGCACTGGATGTCAATAAGTACAAGAAATGGAACCAGTAAGTACAACAAATAAAGCACCCTTCTCTGTGCCTGGCGCATACTAGGATCTTAAAAAATATCCACTTGGAAGAAGAAATATGCAATCTACGTATTCAATGTGATCCCTGTCAAAATAACACCAGCATTCTTCACAGAGCTAGAACAATCTTAAAATTTGTTGTTGTTTTTTTAAATTTGTGTTAAATTAGAAAAGAGAAGAGACATGGTACGAGCAGGGGAGGGGCCGAGAGAGAGGGAGACACAGAATCTGAAGCTGTCAGCACAGAGCTCCACGCGGGGCTTGAACTCAGAAGGGTGACATCATGACCTAAGCTGAAGTCAGATGTTAAACCGACTGAGCCACCCAGGTGCCCCAAACAATCTTATAATTTGTATGGAACCACAAAAGACCCCGAATAGCCAAAGTAGTGTGGAAAAAGAAAGCCGAAGCAGGAGGCATCACAATTCTGGATTTCAAGCTGTATTACAAAGCTGTAGTCATCAAGACAGTATGGTACTGGCACAAAAACACACACTCAGATCAGTGGAACAGAATAGAGAACCCAGAAATGGACCCACAAATATATGGCCAACTAGTCTTTGACAAAGCAGGAAAGAATATCCAATGGAATAAAGACAGTCTCTTCAGTAAATGGTGTTGGGAAAACTGGACAGAGACATGCAGAAGAATGACCCTGGACCACTTTCTTACACCACACACAAAAATAAACTCAAAATGGATGAAAGACCTAAAAGTAAGACAGGAAGCCATCAAAATCCTAGAGGAGAAAGCAGGCAACAACCTCTTTGACCTTGGCCACAGCAACTGCTTACTCAACATGTCTCCAGTGACAGGGGAAACATAAGCAAAAAAAATAAAGTATTTGGACCTCATCAAGATAAAAAGCTTCTGCACAGCAAAGGAAACAGTCAGCAAAACTAAAAGGCAACCGACAGAATGGGAGAAGATATTTGCAAATGACACATCAGGGTTAGTATCCAAAATCTATAAAGAACTTATCAAACACCTAAAAGACAATCCCGTGAAGAAATGGGCAAAAGACATAGACACCTTTCCAAAGACATCCAGATGGCCAACAGACACATGAAAAGATGCTCAACATCACTCATCATCAGGGCACAAATGCTGATTTGAAGGGGCACATGCACCCCAATGTTTATGGCAGCAGTATCGACAATTGCCAAAGTACGGAAAGAGCCCAAATGTCCATCGACTGATGAATGGATAAAGAAGGGGCACCTGGATAGTTCAGTTGGTTAAGCGTCTAACTTCAGCTCAGGTCATGATCTCTTGGTTTGTGAGTTTGAGTCCCATGTCAGGCTCTGTGCTGACAGCTCAGAGCCTGGAGCCTGCTTCTGATTCTGTGTCTCCCTCTCTCTCTACCCCTCCCCTGCTCATGCCCTCTCAAAAATAAACATTAAAAAATTTTTTTAAAAAGTGGTGTGTATGTGCATATATATATGTACACATATGTACACACAAAGGACTACTACTCAGCCATGAAAAAGAATGAAATCTTGCATTTGCAACAATATGAATGGAACTCGAGTGTATCATACTAAGCAAAATAAGTCAGAGAAAAACAACTATCGTATGATTTCATTCATATGTGGAATTTAAGAAACAAAACATGAACATAGAGAAAGAGAAGTAAAACTAAGATAAAAACAAAGGAAGACAAACTATAAGAGACTCTTAAACACAGAGAACTCAGGGATGCTGGAGGGGGTGTAGGGTGGAGGGATGGGCTACATGGTCAAGGGGCAGTAAGGAGGGCACTTTTTGGGATGAGCACTGGGTGTTCTATGTAAGTAATAAGTCACTAAGCTCTACTCTTGAAATCCTTATTACACTACATATTAACTAAACTTGGATTTAAACTTAAAAAAAATTAAAAGTATATATATATATATCAGCGGAATGAATGAGTTAAATGCTCTGCTTGAGGGGCGCCTGGGTGGCTCAGTCGGTTAAGCGCCCGACTTCGGCTCAGGTCATGATCTCACGGTTCGAGCCTCGCGTAGAGCTCCGTGCTGACAGCTCAGAGCCTGGAGCCTGCTTCAGATTCTGTATGTCCCTCTCTCTGACCCTCCCCTCCTCACGCTGTCTAATAAATTAGAAAAGAAACATTTAAATTTTTTTTTAAAAAATGCTTTGCTTGAATGTCTCACCCACAGTATTGAATAAGTACCGGCTGAAGAACTCAATAACTGACCCAAACTCCTGATGCCCACTGAAGATGCATAGTAGCCCCCAATGCAACCACCTCCCACCTCTTGCCCCCGCAGCGCGAGCTCCGCTAGAATCCTCGTGTATCCATCCATCACTAATTTAACCCCTGATTCCCCCGGTGGGCATAACCCTCATCCAGCTGCATCTCTGCAGCTCAAACCCCTAACTTACCATAATTTAGGGACGTGTTCAGGCCACGGAGAAGACCGGACCAGGACATGCCACCGCCTGCAGGGTCCCTGTGTTAGGGGATAAGAGACTCAGGAAGGAAAAGGGAAACGTGGCCAGAGCCAGACAAGGACCCAAACTCTCCCCACCCCGTCCTCAGAGCCTTCTGATTAAATCCAAGGAATTTCCTTGACAGTCTAACCACAACCCCACACGCTGCTGACGGAAATTCCCTCCATAAATTTAGTTTCGCTCCAAGCGGGCACCCAACAACCCCTCCCGCCCCCAGCACACAGAAGCAGAAGGGACACTCAGGAGACGGCCGGGGAGATTAATGGCACCCGAGTATTCCACCAACCTCACCGACCCTGGCGGGGTCCGCAGGCAAGCTGAATCTGCCTCTAACCCCTTCCGGAGGTCATCCCGGCGGGGATTGGCTGGTTCTGCCTCCCGTGTACGCCGAAGGGGAGGGGCACAGATGACGATTGGTCAACGACAGAGTCAATCACAGTCGATTTTTCTCATCCAACCGTGTTTGAAGCTCGAGAGGCGCTCACCCCATCCAGGGCCTGATTGGCAGGAAAGCTGCTTTGCAATTGGTCTAAACGCGGCATGGGCGGGACAAAGGGTGCGTGTCTCCTTGTCCCCTGTCCAAGATGGCTGCGTCCATGGCGCGGCGCTTGTGGCCTTTAGTGGCTGCTCGGGGTCTTCATTCCCGGAGAGGCTGCATCTGCAGCCACAGCCCAAGGAGAGCTTTTGCCACGGAAAGACGAGACCGGAACCTTCTGTACGAGCACGCGCGCGAGGGCTACAGCGAACTCCCTCATCTGGACATGGAATCTCTGTGCGCATGCCCGGAAGAGGCCGCGCGCTCCCTGCAGCTCCGCAAGGGGGAGCTGCGGCCTGAGGACCTGCCCGCGATCGTGAGTGCGCTTGCGCGGGCATCCTCCGCGGGGTCGTCCGGGGCTGGCAAGATGCGGTGCAGCGGGGGGCAAAACTATTGCAGGAATTTTAGTTCCTTCCCAAGGAAGGATGTTGTGTGCTTGGCACCCATAGGTGTGCCTGTTCTCCACGGAGTGCTGGGGCCCGGCCTGTACGCACCCATTATGCGCCTGTTCCATAAAGCGTGCTGAGTACCTCCTTTGCGCTTGGGAACTCACTACGTGCCAATGTTTTCTGTACTCCAACCTCCCGCCAGGCTTCCTAAACACCACAAAAGAAAATTGGGGGTGGGGGGGGGGAATTGAGGGACAGGGATGTGAATCAGACGAGGGTGGAGAGGGGGTTGCCTTTGGACAGTAAGAGCCCTGCACCTGCCCCACAGGTAGCAAGTATTTAAATAATTATTTCATTAATGGTTCTGCCGACCAGCTGTTTAAGGAGCGTCTACTGTGTCCCAGGCGTTGATCATAAGGTGGGAAGTAATATACTACTACGTGCCAGGGAGCGAGAACCAGAGTCACCACAGGGCTAGACCTTCGTGGGGTGCTGAGGATGGTCCTCTTCTAAGTGCTTTGTACTTATTTGCCTCAACTCAGTTTCATGCCAACTGTATGAGGTGGGTGCCGTTATTTCCCCCATTTTACCAGAGGAGAAAGGAAAGCTCGGAAAAATTAACTAGAGGGGCGCCTGGGTGGCTCAGTCGGTTAAGCGCCCGACTTCGGGTCAGGTCATGATTTCACAGTTTGTGGGTTTCGAGGCCTGCGTCGGGCTCTGTGCTGACAGCCAGCTCAGAACCTGGAGCCTGCTTCGGATTCTGTATCTCCCTCTCTCTCTGACCCTCCCCTGCTCACACTGTCTCTCTCTCAGAAATAAATAAAAAACATTTAAAAAAAAATTTTTTAAAGAAAAATTAACTAGAAAGTGGGGTGGTTCCTCAAAAAATTAAACACAGCATTAGCATATGATCCAGCAGCCCCGCTTCTGGGTATATTCTCCAAAGACTTGAGAGCAGGGACTTGGACAGGTATTTGTACACCCATGTCTGTTGCAGCATTATTTACAGTAGCCAAAAGGTGGAAGCAATCCAAGTGCCCATGGATGGATGGATGAATAGATAAAATGGTGTATGGTACACCATGGTGGGATATGATTCAGGCTTCCTAAGGGAGCGAAATTCTGGCATATGCCATAACATGAATGAACCTTATGCTAAGTGAAATAAGACTATCAGAAAAAGACAGAAGCTGGGTAATTCCATTCATTCATACAAGGTGCCTAGAGTAGTCAAATGCACAGAGACAGGTAATGGAATGGCAGTTGCCAGGGGCTGGGGAGAGGCGAGCAGGGAGACAGTGTCTGATGGGTATAGCACTTCCATCTGTGAAGATAAAGTTCTGGTGGAACAGTGTGAATATACTTAGTGTCACTGAAGTGTACAGTTAAAAATGGTTAAAATGCTACACTGTATATATTAAAAAAATTTTTGTACGTTTATTAGAGAGAGAGAGTGAGCAGGGGAGGGGCAAGAGAGGGAGACACACAATCGGAAGCAGGCTCCAGGCTCTGAGCTGTCAGCACAGAGTCCATGGGGCTCGAACTCAAACTTAGAGATCATGACCTGAGCCACCCAGGTGCCCCAACTTTATATAGTTTTTTAAATATTTATTTATTTTGAGAGAGAGAGAGCAAGGGAGGGGCAGAAAGAGAGAGAGAGAAAGAACCCCAAGCAGGCTCCGGCCTGTCAGCACAGAAGCCAACATGGAGCTCGAACCCACAAACCGTAGGATCATGACCTGAGCCAAAACCAAGAGTCGGGCGCTTAACTGACTGATTCACCCAGGTGCCCCCTAAAATGCTAAACTTTATATTTTACCCCAAGTTTTTTAAAGTGCTGGTTGAGCGATCTTAAATTATTTATAACCTGCTAATGGGTCACATCCCAAAGCTCAAAAAGCACTTCTTTGGGGCATGAAGTGTGACGAGAAATATGGCGTGTGGCATCATGGGCAATAACGGGGCACGCGAATTGTTCCCTGGGGCACTGGGGAGCTATGGGTGCCTCCAGGCAGGGGAGCGATTGTGTAAGAGCTCTGGCTGGACTGGAGGAGGTGAGCCTGAAGGCTGGGAGGATGGCGCAGAGGACAGGACCTGGAGCAGAGTCGGGCAGGCGTGGGGGGATGGGAGGAGGATGGGCGCGACAGACGTTCAGGAGGCAGAAAGGTCAGGACCTGGAGCCCTGGAGCCCGGCGACAGGGCCAGAGTGGCTTCCGGCAGGAGGCTCAGGGACTCTGGGGACCTCACAGCAGGAGGTGTGCCCATGAACCAGAGCTGAGCCTACTTTGTGGGAGGCGACGGGTTGAGCGCCGCCGCCCCATAGGACCGAGGCTGCGTCTCTCTTCTCTGAGACCAGAGGGGAGTGCTGGCTGGGCCTGAGCTCCGGGTCCCCAGCGCCTGGGTCCTTTCACCCTCTGCTCCGCATTCCTTCGGATGCTGTCCGGTTTGGCTCTCAGATCCCATCGTCAAGTCCAAGGGGATTAAGAGACAGAAAGCCCAGCATGGAGGCTTACCTTCAAGGAGGTGACCCAAGAGTCACACTTAACCACTTCCACTCGCGTCCGTTGGTTGATCTTGGACACATGAGCACAGGAGGCTGGGATTTACATCAGGAAGCTCTAGGACTGACGGGACCAAGGAGAGCCTTGGTGCTGGGCGCCAGGTGGCCAGCAGGGGGAGGCCCCAGCAAGAAGGGGCAGGGGACAGTGGCCACTTCACGCCTTTCCCTCCTGTGCCCTCCCCCAGATCTCAACATGGCAGGAGCTGAGGCAGCTGCGGGAGCAGATCCGGAGTCTGGAGGAAGAGAAGGGGGCTGTGGCTGAGGCAGTACGGAACCTGCTGGTGAGCAGCAGGGGCGGGGGTGGGGGCGGGGGGGATCCTAGGTGGGGGGTCTTCACTGTGTTGATTTGACCTCAGTTTCCCCTCTCACAGCCCAAGATGGCTGGCATAGTACTGTGTCTCTTTGCATGACTCTACCAGAGGCAGAAAACAGGACTTCTGTGGCCTGAGTGCCCTTTGTCAAGAGCAGGGACACCCTTCCCGAAGCATCTAGCAGAGTCCCTGACAACCCCTGCCCACACCTGTGCCCTCAGGAGGGATGGAGTTATGCCCCAGGCTTAGGGCTCTTTGAGAGGCAGCTCCCCGGCTCAGCTCACGCTCCCTGAACTACACGCTGTTCGGGGAGGGTGAACTGAGTCAGGGGCTGTGGGATTGGAGGAGGGAGCACAGATAGTCTCGGGTTAGACAGCCAATAGCACCTGCCACAGGGGAGCTGAAAAGAGTAATCGTAAAATTGACAGCAGACGCTTATATAGCGGCCACTGTGTGCCAGGCGCCGTTCTAGATGCTTTCCTTACCCCGAACCCTCCCAACCCCGGGAGATGGGACCCATACAGACTGTTTACAACCAGGGTCCCAAGAGGTTACATGTGCCTAAGCGTCACAGCCAGAAAGTGGGCGAGGCAGGCTTCGCACCCAGGCCCCCACAGGTTCCCTTTCGCCCCGCCCCTCGAAGGCCAATCGAAAAACTAGCTACACCTCCCAGTGGCCCTACTATGTGAGTGCCAGGCCCCGGAGTGCGTGCATCACGGGCAGGCAGCCACTGACAACAGAGTTGATCACAGTTAACGTTCCCTGAGTGCTAACTCATCTGCTCCGGGAAGCCACACAATAAGCCCTGCTGGGGAGGTCCTGTAAGCCCATTTCACGCATGGGAATACCGAGGCCCGGAGAAGGAAAGAGATTCGCCCAAGGGACGCGGAGCTGGTAGGCACCCAGCCATTAGACTTGGGTCGGCCTAATTCCAGCTGCGGCTCAGATAAGGTTGCGGGTTCACCGGCTTTCCCTCTCCGAGCCTCAGTTTTCTCATTTACGAAATGGGAAACACAGCAAGGCCAATGTCACGGGGCAGGTTGTGAAGAAACAGGACCGTGCGAGAGCCCTCGGCAGGGACGGGCTCAGTCAGCAGAGCTGCGGGTGCGGTTACTCTTCGGTCACCTCGCCTCCTCCCAGCTTCACTGAGAAACTGAGACGGGAGGGGAGGGAGGGGAGGAGGGTCTGTCCAGCCAGGCACCCGTCCCACCCCACCCCACCCCACCCGGCCCCGTTTGGCCTTTCACCCCTCCTTTTCTCGCTCCTCCCAGGCCCCCGCTTTGTGACCCTGATCGCCCTGTCTGTCTCTCTCCCACCAGGTAAACAAGGACAACCCTCAAGTGCAGCAGGTACGCCCGAGGCTGGCGCCCTGCCCCTGGTGGGAGTGGGCAGGTGCCCCGTGAGTCACGATTCCTACCTTGTGCCGGAAGACAAGCCACAAACAGGATTCTTGCTCCAAGTGAATCTGTTGGGCCCTGAAACCGAAGAGGCTGGCCTGTATTTGGTGTCTGGTTCCCTCTCATTCCCAGACCCGCTTTCTGCCCTCCGAGAAAGGGGCAGCGGGCCGGGGCACAAAGGGGACCGCTTCCCCGACCGCTGCACCCCTGGCCCCGGGGCTCGGACCATGCACCTGCCTTGGAGCCACTCACTGTGGCCCAGGCGATAGAGTGTCCTGGCAGCCCAGGCCTGCGTCACGCCCCCCTCCCCCCCCACCGGACTTGCCATGTGGTGGCGAGGTGAGGTGAGGGGATTTCCCAAGCAGGAATTGAGGATGTTGGGCCGAGAGGGGGGTGGTGCCGACCCCAGGGGATCCGCCAACGAGGCCTGAGGTCAGACTGGTTGAGGGACCGCCCCCCCGCCCGCTCCTGGGCTGACCCCGCTTGCCCCGCCACCCAGGACCCCCAGTATCAGAGCCTGCGTGCCCACGGCCGGGAGATCCGCAAGCAGCTCATGGTCCTGTACCCCAAGGAGACGGAGCTCGAGGAGGAGTTCTACCTGCGGGCGCTGAGGCTGCCCAACCACACCCACCCAGCGGTGGTGAGCGCGGTGCTGGGGGGGCTGCTGGGGGGGAGCGGGCTGCTGGGGGGGAGGGCGGGGGCCAGCCCGGGACCACCCTCCCCTGACTCCCGCCCTGTCCCTGCAGCCCGTCGGCGACGAGAGCCAGGCCCGAGTGCTCCATGTGGTCGGAGATAAGCCAGGTGGGCCGCCCCCAGGCCCGGGGAGCCCAGGCGGGGTGGGGGGCGGTGTCCCAGGGCCTGGGATGTGCTGGGTGCTCCCTCCTCCGCCTTCCGCCCTCTGTCCCTGTGTGTACGGCGGTCCAGTCCATGCCTGGCTCGCTGTGGTCATTTCTCTTGGGGTTTCCTCCCTGACTCTGGTGTGTGTCTCGCTCTGGCTCTGACTCTGTACCTCCTCCTAATTCTCTCACCTCCTCCTAACGTTCTCTTCCCTTTCCCTTCTTTCCTTTTCCACCTCTGCCTTGCGTCTCTTGTCTCTCTCCATCTCTCCCTTTGCCAGTCCCGCCTCTGCCGCCCTCTCCTTCCCTCCCATTCTCTCTCTCTCTCTCACATCCTCCCTCTGTCCCTGTTCTGTGTCTCCCCCCTCCCCCGCAACTCCACCGCCTCTCATCCGCTTCTCATCCGGCTCCAGCATTCTCCTTCCAACCCCGGGGCCACCTGGAGATTGCAGAGAACCTTGACATCATCCGCCAGAAGTGAGCCCCGCCTACCTGCCTGCGCGCACCCCTTCCACCCTCCCCTTCCCGGCAGCCAGGCCTCACACCGCATGAATGTTTGATGCCCCGGTCCCCCGCCTGGCAGCTGGCCTCTGCCCCAGGCCACTCGGGTCCCCCGCTTCCCCCAGCAGCCCCAGCCCCCACACCACCGCCTGTCTGCCCGTCTGTCTCCCAGGCGCCTGTCCCACGTGTCGGGCCACCGCTCCTATTACCTCCGCGGGGCCGGGGCCCTCCTGCAGCATGGCCTGGTCAACTTCACTCTCAACAAGCTTGTCCGCCGGGTACGGGCCAGGATGGGAGGGCTGCCTGGAGGGGGTGACACTGACTCAGAGGGCTCAAGATGGGGAGGAGGGCGTTCCCTGTGCTCCAGCTGTGGTTTCAGAGCTTTACACACGTTATGGACACATTTAGTTCTTACAGTAACGTTATGAGATAGGTGCTCTCAGTATTCCCACTTCAGGGATGGGGAACTTAAAGCCTGAAGAGACTGCCCGCAGTCTCATGGCTGCTGCTTGGAGCCAGCCCTGGGCCTTGTGCCTATACCCTCACCACCTGTCCGGGTGTAAAGGAGGTGTCAGGAGGCGTTGCTGGAATGGGCAGGGTCGGCGGGGGCTGAAGGCACAGGGTGTTGACCACGGGGTGTTGACCGTGGTCAGGGACCCGGACATTTCCTGAAGGCACTGGGAAGCCACAGAAAGCTTTAGCTACACTTCCCGCTGCCCTGCATGGGATGAAGTGAGAGGAAACCGCGAAGCACCAGCAGGGAGGGCCCGGGCGGCAGGGACCCTGGGGTCCCAGAGCCGGCTCCAGGCCCACTGTTCGGGCCTCCCTCGGTCTCCCCTGAGGCAGAATGGGCTTTGAGGGACTCTGCGTGGCCCGGGTCTAGGGGGGGCCTGGCTGTGCCCTCACCCCGCCCCCTTCCCGTTCACAGGGCTTCATTCCGATGACGGTGCCAGACCTCCTCCGGGGAGCTGTGTTTGTGAGTGCCCCCCGCGCCCCGCTGTGTGCCAGGCCCTGTTCCGGGGACGCCAGGCGCGAAGAAGAATGCCCTGTCTCCCCTGCAGAGACGGCCAAGGATGGGGGGAGCATCCCAAGTGCTTCCTGGGGAGGAGTGCTTGCAAAATGGCGGCAAAGGTGATCTGTCCCCTGACCTCCGTGGCTTGGCCTTTCTCCCCAGGAAGGCTGTGGGATGACCCCAAATGCCAACCCATCCCAAATTTACAACATCGACCCCTCCCGCTTTGAAGACCTCAACCTGGCTGGGACAGCAGAAGTGGGGCTTGCTGGTAAGCACCTGCCTGGGGGGCAGCAGCAGGGGTGAGGACACCTCAGAGCAGGAGGGATTGTAGGGGGACAACCAGGAGCCTCCTGGGGGTGACGGCGGCCACCTAAGATGTCTCAGTGACCCCAGGGCCAGCATGTCCGGTTGCATAGGTTGTTTACCGCACAGCAGTACAGTGAGGATCCAGCCTCATGCCCTGACGTGAGGTTGTGTCCACCAGAGAGGACACCTTTTCTAATTGTCATCAAGGTTTCCTGTGAATGGTGGTGACCCATCCTGTCCCTCTCTCCTCCCAGGCTACTTCATGGACCACTCGGTCGCCTTCAGGGACCTGCCAGTCAGGTGATACTCAGTTCCCTTAGATCTTGTCCCCCCACTGTGACATTCCCTCCCCCTCCCTGACTCCACTTCCCCTCCACCCACCCCAGGATGGTTTCTTCCAGTACCTGCTACCGGGCAGAGACAGACACCGGGAAAGAGCCATGGGGACTGTATCGAGTGCACCATTTCACCAAGGTTGGTGTGGCCGGGCCCTGGGGAGGAGGGCCCGCTCCTGTGGCCGGGGGCCTCCTGACTCCCCCGCCCGCTGCACTGCCCCAGGTGGAGATGTTTGGGGTGACGGGCCCTGGGCTGGAGCAGAGCTCCCAGCTGCTGGAGGAGTTCCTGTCCTTGCAGATGGAGATCTTGACGGAGCTGGGCCTGCACTTCCGGTGCGGAGAAGGGTGGGGAGAGGGAGGGGGGACGGGCTGGTGAGGTGCTCCCCCACCTTAAACACCCCCAGTGCCTCCTCTCCCTCTGCCCCTGCGGCCCCGTATTAGGAATACAAGCAGGGTACGTATCTGTCCATCTGTAGCATCCCATGTGGGACCATAGAACGGTGACAGCAGCCTAAGTGGCCCAGGGCGCCTGCCCTTGGGGACCCAGGCTCCCATCCCTAGGTCCCGCCTTATCAGCGCTTCACCCCCGGGGGCTCCTCACCGCCTGGCTCAGTGGGGAGGGGGTGCACCTGGCTTCCAGAGAGGCCGGGGGGCATGGGCTTATCCTCAGTGACCTGTTACAGATGCAGGTGCTGAGAGTGGCCACATGCCCTCCCTCCTCCACGCCCTCCTCCCCACCCACTCCTCTCCCACCTTGTCCACTGCCCCCTGCCTCCCCTCCCTGCCCCGGTTGCCACCTCTGCCTCCTTTTTCACTGCACTTCCCTCTTTCTTGGCCCTCTTCCATCGCCCCCATGCCGTCTCCCTCCTCCCCCTCCGGCCTCCACCTCGGCTGCCCCTCTGGCCTCTCGCTGACCTTTGCTGTGACTTTCTCTTCCGCCGTAGCGTCCTGGACATGCCCACCCAGGAACTGGGCCTCCCCGCCTATCGCAAGTTCGATATCGAGGCCTGGATGCCAGGCCGTGGCCGCTTTGGCGAGGTCAGCGAGCCCCCGCCACGGTGGGGATGTGGGGGACGTGGGGCGGGCCAGGGCCCCCCACAAGTGACCCAATCAGCCCGCCCTGGCCCCACACCCAGGTCACCAGTGCTTCTAACTGCACGGACTTCCAGAGCCGCCGGCTGCACATCATGCTCCAGGAGGAGGCTGGGGAGCTGCACTTCGCCCACACGGTGAGCGCCCGCATCCCCTCACTCCACCTCCCAAGAGCCCCGCTCCCTGGCGGGGGGCACACCGCTGCCTGCTGGGGCAGGGGAGTCACTGCCTGGGTGCGAGCATGCCTCTCCCCCAGGTGAACGCCACAGCCTGCGCCGTCCCACGCCTCCTCATCGCCCTCCTGGAGAGCAACCAGCAAGAGGTGAGGGGTGGAAGGATCCTGCGCAGGGAGGCTGAGGTGGGCGGGTGGGCAGCACCCTGAGGCCCCGCTCCTTCCCCAGGATGGCTCGGTCCTCGTGCCCCCTGCCCTGCAGCCCTACCTCGGCACCGATCGGATCACGGCCCCCACCCACGTGCCTCTCCGGTACATCGGCCCCAACCAGCCGCAGAAGCCCAGGCTCCCGGGCCCGTCCGCTTCGAGCTGAGAACTCACCGCCACCCGTCAGCAGGGCCACGGCCGCCTCCTGGAGCTTGGGGACCCCGGGGACCTGTTTTCCCACCCGGCCCGACATCTGCGTTCCTCACACAGGCTCCGTGCCTGGGCCTCTTTACTACTTCTTCCTCGGAATCGGCCAGTGACCCTGCTGTCACCGATGGTCCCAACCTGCACCGGAAGGCAGGATGCCTGGGGACTTAAAGGTTGTAGGGACGGGGGAAGAAGAGGAAGAGGCCTTCAAGCCTCCTTCCTTCTTCTCTCCCACAGTACGTCGCAGAAAGTCCCCAATAAATGGTCAGAACCAAGGCCTCTGTGGATCTGTGGGCAGGGGAGACGACCCTGGTGACCTGCAGTGATGCCGGGCAGCTGGTCAGAGGGACTAAACCGTCAGGGTCTGTGGCCGCGGGTGTCCAGTCACCCCCCAGAGCACACGGAGGGCCACTTGGGGGCCACCGCAGGAACCGGGACAGGGCGAGGCCTCTCCCTCACTCTAGGACAAGGGGCACCTTGCACTGACCTGTTGCAACCTCACCCCTCCACCTCCACTGCTGGGGGTGGTCCGGTAGGCGCACCAACTCCATGAAGGCAGAACTCGCTCTTCCCCTCGCTCTGCCCGTCTGCACATGGAACGGTCTTCCCAGCTCTTCAGGCCACAGCCCTTCCATCACCCTCAACTGCTCTCCTGGCCACCTAGCTCAGACCCTGCAGCCCCTCCTCCACACTGTTTCCAGAATCCGCCCTCACTCTCTCCTCCCCGGTCCCTCCCTGGTCCTGTCCACTGGTCTCTCCACCTGGAGAGTCATGGCAGCCTCTCCACCATCTCCCTGCTCCCTGGCCCCCGCACCAGGCCAGAGCCACCCCGTGGACGCTGTGTCCAGTCACGTCCCTCCCCCGCTTGGAGCCCTCGTGTGGCTCTGTCTCAGGGGGAAAACCAGCCGTCACCGTGATCCACAGAGCCCCACCCCCACCCTGATCTGCCCCCTGCCTCCCGCTCCAACCCGCCTCCTCTCTTGTGCTCTGGTCTTGCTGTGCTACCTCCGCAGACTCACTCTTTTTTTTTTTTTTTTTTTTTTAATCTGTATTTTTAAAGAGAGAGTGTGTGAGCGGGGGAGGAACAGAGAGAAGGGAGACACAGAATCCGAGGCAGGCTCCAGGCTCTGAGCTGTCAGCACAGAGCCCGACACAGAGCTGGAACTCATGAACCATGAGATCATGACGTGAGCCGAAGTCAGTGGTTTAACCAGCTGAGCCACCCGGCGCCCCAGTCTGCAGACTCATTCTTGACTCCGACCTTTGCACTGGCGAGTCCCGTATGATCTCTACTCTTCCCCTGATCTTGTGTGATTGCCTCCACTTTACAGCTCAGGCCTCAGCCCACATATCACCCCCTCTGAGAGGACTTCCCTGGGCTGGCCAGAGGAAAAGCCCTAGCACTGTGTGACGCAGGAGTCTATGATGATCATTTCCTCCTTCCTCATACAAGCGTAGTTGAGTATTGTGTCTTCCCCTTCTCAAATGTCGGCTCCAAGAGAACAGGGAAGTTTGTCTGTCTGTTCCTGGGCTTCCTGAGAGGACTGGGCATACAGTAGGTGCTCAATAAAAGCTACTGGACTGAGAGTGCTGGGACATGTGCAGTTCCCAGTGCCAGACACTGTCTAAATTACCTTATGCGCCTGTTATGTATTTATTCCTCACCTGGCAGGTGGCTGCCCTTCTCACAAAGGATGAAACCAATCCCAGAGAGGTCGGGGCAGTTTCCCCGGGGCTGCACAGCTGGCAGGGGCGGAGCTGGGATTCAGGTGGAACCCAGCCACCCTCTGAGGAAGTAGGTTTAGGACACCCAAATCTCCAGATGAGGAAAAGGCCAAAGAAGGGAAGGAGTTGCCTGAAGTCTATCTGTAAGTGGCTGCCCCTGGCTGGATTCAAACTCAGGTCACCCTCCCAGTGCAGCCTTAAGCTCATCAGACCACGGCTCTCTAGGGGAAGCACCCTCCCTCTGCGCTGGCGCTCAGCGCCCATTAGCTGGAGGGGAGCAGGTGAGGGACCTGGGTCTCCATGAATAATTGAGGGTCTCAGGCAGGTGGCTGCCCAGCAGCTGTCACCCCAGCACGGGCGTGGAGGGGGCGGCGGTGATGTCACCTCCTCCCCTGCGGGCCACGGGGACGGGTTATAAGGAGCTGCCACGCCGTCCTGCGCAGCGCCAAGCACCCTGGTCCGGTCGCCCCACCATGCAGAGCCGTGGGCCCGCCTCCGTGCTGTGGTTGCTGCCGCTGCCCCTGTTGCTGGCGCTGCTGCTGGGGGCAGGTGAGTGCAGAACCTGGAGAGGGCACCCCTTGCAACCAGCTCAGGGACCAGGGACTGGGGGTGCGGGAATGGTGACCCTGGCAGGTAGGCTGGGGAGGGGACAGGTGAGTACCGGGACGCATCTTGGAGCTGAGATCAGCACCGAGGACAGCGCCCGGGGGTACGGAGGGGTACCAGAACCCATCTCCTTCCTCCATAGCCACCACTGCTCCCTTGGCGCCAAGACCCTCCAGGGAAGAGGTGAGGAGTGCAGACCCCTTGCCCTGCCTCATCTTCCCCAGACCCTGGCCCTCCCTGACCAGCCTCCATGATCACCTCCCTTCCAAACTTCCAGCTGCTCTCATTCCTCCCATCAGCCCTACCCTCAACTTCCCCTCTGACCCTTCACCCCCAGCTGACCCGCTGTCTGGCAGAGGTGGTCACAGAAGTGCTGACGCTGGGCCAGGCCCAGAGAAGCCCCTGCACAGCTCTCTTCCACAGAGGTGAGGGGGCCCAGGCCCCGGTTCCCCTTAGGAGCCCCCACCCCACGCAGGGTTCTGGCCAGGGCTGCCTGGAGGAAGGGTTGTCTCATCCCAGGGCCCCCTTGCCTGGGCTGGCACGGCACGCCCAGTGTCCTGTCTGGCTTTCAGCCCTGCCCTGGGGGGGAGGGCGTTCCTGCCAAGGTATGGGATGGGGACAGAGAACATCCCCCAGACCCGAGCCTCCTCTCCCTGTTTTTGGGCAGCACCCCCCATGGGACCGTGGGCAGGGCCCCAGAACTCCAGGTCTATCTCCCGACTTTGCTGCACATCCTCTCTCTTCCCACCAGAGATGTGTGAGACAGAGCCCTACGGCTGTGTGTCCACCAAAGAGAAGGGCCTACTGGTTGGGGATTTCAAGCAGCAGGAGGCTGGGAAGATGAGGGCCAGCCAGGAAGTGAGGGATGAGGAAGAGGAGGCAGCGGAGAGGGCCCACAAGGCTGAGGGGCGGGAGCAGACCCTCCGCGAGCAGCTCCACAGCCGGCTCCGCCAGGAGGAGGAGGAAGAGGAGGAGGAGGAAGAGGAGGAGGAGGAAGAGGAGGAGGAGGAAGAGGAGGAGGAGAAGAGGAAGAAGAGGGGGCCCGTGGAACCCTTTGAAGGCCTGTGGAAGTGGCGCCTAGAGGGTGGAGGGGGCCCCCACAAGCGAGTGGCTGAGCAAGCCAGTGACGAGGAGACAGCCCAGTTTGAGGCCGAGGAGAAGGGGGTGCAGGTGCTGGGCGGGGGCCGCCATCTGTGGCAGGGGGCCGAGGCAGGCGGAGGGGAGAGGCGCCAGGACTCGCCGCGCCACCACCGCCTCCACCAGCCAGAAGCCGAGTCCAAGCAGGAGGAGAAGGAAGAGGCTTCGGAGAGGGAGGTGAGTGGAGGAGGCAGTGGGCAAGTGGGGCAGGCCAAACGGCCAGTGGAGTCAACGACCAAACAGGTACCCGTGTTGGGCCCTAAACAGCCGATATCCACCACACGTGGACCATAGTGACCAGAATCAACACCAGGACTAGGTAGCGACGTCCAGGCAAGGCCCCTGCTTGACCAAGATGGCTTCCACGCCGAGGGGACAGTAACCAAGATGGCCACCAGTCGAGTTAGCCGCCACTGTAGTCTGTGATGCACAGTCGGGCCACATGAGGAGTGGTTGCTGTGCTTGGTTCACTGAACTACAGATGGGACACCACTGCTGAGCCGTGGAAAGAAAGTTGTCCCCATGAGTGGAGGCAGTAGCCTCGACAGCCAGCACCTCACGAATGGCTCAGGGCACCCACCCTGGGCACCTTTACCAGTCCTATCTGCGCTTCTTGGCCATGGCTGGTCACCTCGGCCAGTCTAACTCTTGCACTGTGGTCGCCGTCGCAGTCCATGGTGACCAGATGACCACTGCCGGCTGCCGTCATGCAAACGTACATGGCCCACACTTATGGGTGACCACGGGGGTGGCCTGCCCTTGAAGGGGGGTGTGCTGAGCCACCCATTTCTGATCCCACCAGGAGCACGACCTGGAACGACTGGAGCACGTGAGAGAGGAGCTAAAGAAGGCGACGGAGATTCTGGGGGAGGAGATCGGGAGGGAGGGATGACCCCCACCTCCTGTCCTCTTTCCTAATACACCGTATGGCTTAGGACTGTTGACCCCCCTAAAGCTCACCTAACACCCCACTCCATTCCCCAGACTTCAGGAACGGGGGGACGGGTGGGCCACACAACCAAGCCCAAGGGGCCAAGTCTGAGCTGGGTAGACGGGCTGGGCTCCAGCTGGTTCAGGAAAGACCCGGCCACCCACTGCAACCCTGCCGAGTGAATAAAGCGCAAAGAAAACCAGGCTCGTGTGGCACTTGATTTGGGGCTGGGATTTTATTAAATTGGAAATCCTATTCACAATGAGGTCAGACAGGGTCATCAGGGAGACGTTTTGAGGCTGGGGTGGGAGGTGGCCGGTTTTGGCTCCGGCCACTGTGGACCACGATGTCGTCGTATTCATCCTGGGGGCAGAGGAGGGGGCAGGCATGGGCCCAGGCGGCTGGCACCCTGCCCGCTGTCCAGCTCCTTCCCCCCACCCAGACAACCGGGTCTTGTCTCAAAGCCCAAGCTCGCCCACTCATCCTTCAATTTCCCTGCTCTTTGTCTTCCAACCACCACGTTCAAGGTCACCTGCGTTCTCCCCTGACCACTGCCTGGGCTCCAGCCTCAATGTTTCGCCACAGCCACTGGGGTCTCCCTCCTTCGCCCCCTCCGTCTGCCTCTACCCGGATTCCTCACCCCCTCAGCCACTCAACATCATCCCCTGCCCCAAGTGGGGTCTCCGCCGCCTGGGTTCTCCAACACAATGTCCTCACCACTGGCTGCGGTCTTTCCCCACTGCTGCCAGTGTTGGACTCAGTGCTGCCCAAGGTCGGCTTCCCAGAGCCTCAGTTCTCCGACTCTTGCTCTGTAAAGCTGCTCGGCTACGACTGCCAACCAGCCCCATTACCGGTCATTACGACCGACTTCTTTTCTCGAACGCCGCCTGAGCTCTACCTCTGCCATTGCGTTTGGTTCTCAACCACAACCCGCGCGCTCCCCGCCACCCCTGCCCAGGTCCTCCGGGACCGCTGCCCAACACAGCCACCTGAGGTCAGTCTCCATGTGCTGCCTCATGCCTCTCCTCTCTCTTCCCAGCTGCCCGTTTACCCCGACCCCCCGGCTGGGCTGCCCGGTTTTTCCTCCTGACTCACGCCCTCATCCCCGCTGTCACTGTCGCTACTGCTGCTGAAGGGGCCGGGTCTGTCGTCCTCGTCCTCAGGGGCTCCATGCGCACGGAGAAGGCGGGCGAGGATGGGGTTGGGCCGGAGCGTGGCACTGCCCAGTGGGGTGCGGCCACCGTACATGCGGGCGGCAGGGTCGGCACCGGCCATCAGGAGCAGCTCCAGCACGTCGGCTGCTTGGGCCTCCACTGCCAAGTGCAGGGGGCTCCGGCCACACGTGGGCTCCTGCGAGGCGCACCAGAGAGGTCAAGGAGGCCCCACCCCGCTCTGGGGGCCCAGCCTCCCTGCCACACTTGCCCCCCAGGGCAGCTCACCGGTTTGTTGAGGTCGGCTCCAGCCTCGCGGAGCAGCCGGACCATCTCTGCATCTTTGTGGATGACGGCCACGTGAAGGGGGGTGTGGCCTGTGGATAGAGCGACAGGTGTCGGACGATGGGGGAAAGGGACCTGGGCCCCAAATGCCAAGGCCCTAGGGCAGGGCTCCGGGGCCTGAGGGGACCAAGTTTAGGGTACCGCTCCTGACTTCCTAGGCACATCAAAGAGGCATCTGCAGCCCAAATGCCTAAGTCTCGGTGGTCTGGAACTTGCTTGTGGCATGTCTGGGGCTTAGGGGTGAAGAGCCTGGGGGCTTGGGACAGGAGGCCTGGATCCTGGGAAAAGGAGACCCAGTCGCTGGTCTTTACTTCCCAAAGGGCCTGGACCCCAAATTCCTAGGTCCAGAGTAGGTGAAGGGCCTTGCGACCTTTGAGGGCGGAGGGGGCCCCTGGACACCGGGTTCTGGGTGACCTCAGTCCCAGTGTGGAAGGGGCTTGGTCCAGGGAGTCAGGCTTAGAGGTGGGGGAGCTGAGACTCAGACGCCTTTCTTCTCATGAGGCCTGGCTCGGGGCTGTACAACCTTGAACCCAGTGTCAATCTCTGGGAACCTGGGCCTTGAGTTCCCTCGTCCTGGGTGGGCTAGAACTTGTGGTGGGTGGGAGGGGGTGAGCTGTGCCTTCCAGCTGGGGAAGCTGGGCCCAAAAACTGGACCTTAGTAGCCCCAGGCCTGTGGGTGAAGGTCTGGGTCCCAAGAGGTCTGGGTTCTGAGCCCCACGTGACCAATTCTCAGGAACCTGGGGCTCGAGTGGGGGCCCTTCCCAATGCCTGGGTTCCTGAAGCCTCACTATTGTTCCCCAAGGGGCCGGGTCTTGAGTCAGGAGAACTGAGCCCAGGGCCAGAAAGTCTCGCTCCACCTGGGAGCCCGAGCCCTGCCCGGTGCCCGAGAACCCTCACCCTCATAGTTTTCAGCCTCCAGCTGCACCTTCCAATCCTCCTCGCTCTCGTCATCTTCCTTCTCCGGGTCGGGGTCGGGGTCCAAGGCAACAGGCAGGCGGTCGGTGTCGGAGGTGCGGTCAGAGGCCTGGGCGAGGTAGGTGTTGGGGGCTCCCCTGGCGCACCGGGGACGGGGCTGGAGAAGCACGCGGGCGCAGGCGTGCGCCCTCATGCGGCAGGCCAGGTGCAGTGCCGTGTGGCCCCCACGCTCCGCCACGTGCAAGCCGGCGCCCGCTGCGTACAGCTTCTCCACTGTGGAGGCCTCCCCCAGGATGGCCGCCAGGTGAAGGGCTGTCTGCGGGAGCAGAGGGCAGGGATTAGGGGGTGCACGGGAGAACCCAGTCCCAATCCCAAAACTGTCCCTGGCTCACCTGACCCAGATCATTCTGCAGGTCCAGGTACTCAGTGCCAGCTGCAAAGCCTAGGAGGAAATCCAGGAAGGGCTCGTGCTGATGAATCACTGCCAAGTGCAGTGCCCTGAAAACAAAGACAGGGAACAGAGCACAGAAGTCAGGTACCCCTGTATTCCCTCATTCACCAGACACGGAGCACCCGCTACTTGGGTGAGGCCCTGTGACCACAGTTCTGGAACGACTGTCAGGAATCTAGGAGGGTCAGGTCAGTTCAGTCAGCAAATGTGTTTCATCGGTGGGTTTTTTAAAATTATTTTAAGTTTAGGGGTGTTGGGGTGGCTCAGTCAGTTAAGCATCCGACTTCGGCTCAGGTCATGATCTCCCGGTTCGTGAGTTCAGGCCCCACATTGGGCTCTGGGCTGACAGCTCAGAGCCTGCGGCCTGCTTCAGAGTCTGTCTCCCTCTCTCTGCCCCTCCCCCACTAGCGCTCTGTCTCTCTCAAACATTAAAAAAAAATTTTTTTAATTATTTTAAGTTTACTTATTTATTCTGAAAGTGCAAGTGGGGGAGGGGCAACGAGGGGGGAGAAAGAGAATCCCAAGCAAGCTTCTGCACTGTGAGTGTGGAGCCCGACGCGGGGCTTGAACCCTCGAACCACGAGATCATGACCTGAGCCGAAGTCGGACGCTTAACTGACCGAGCCACCCAGGCACCCCTAATCAGTGTGTACTACGTAGGGCTTCTACTTCCTCCCAAGATGAAATAACAGGGACCAGATTTCCCTCCCACCTGAATCAACCAAAAAAAAAAATCTGACAAACAACAGTATAGGAATCAACAGTTTTCCAGACACTGGTCCTCGTACAATGAATGACCGTGATCCCTAAGAGGAAACAAAATGAGGTGAGCCCTTCAACTGATCGCCAAGTTGACTGTTTTGAGAGTAGACACAGCACAGAGAGGGGCCTGGCAGATTGCACGTGAGGCCAGAAGGAGTGGAGTCTGGGAAAAGTAGGCAGCTGGCGCCACAGGGCAGAGAACCCCAGAGGAGAGAGCTGATAGGGAGACGCTGGAGGGTCTACAAAGGGGCCACTCAGTATTTAGGAGAACACTGATTAATGCAGGGGTGTGAAAAAACCATCCAAAAAGATTTGGGAAACAAGCCCATCGCTCACAGGAGGCCAGGAATACTGCCTGTACCCACCAGTCAGACTAGCAAAAACCCAAGGACATTGGGTAGAATACTCTGGAAGGTCTTACCTCAGTAGTGGGGAATACTAAGCCCTAGATGGGCACTGCTCAGGACCCACCCAGCAAATCATAAAAGCAAACATCCAAAGGATCCATCTGTTTCCAAGTAGTTGTTTATTTGTTTTTTTAAAGCTTATTTACTTTTGAGAGAGAGAGAGACACACAACGCGAGCAAGGAAGGGGCACAGAAAGAGAGGGAGACACAGAATCTGAAGCAGCTTCAGGCTCCAAGCTGTCAGCACGGAGCCCAATGTGGGGCTCGAACTCATGAACCCTGAGATCATGACCTGAGTCGAAGTTGGACACTCAACCAAGCCACCCAGATACCCCGAACTCCTTACAAGTAGTTTAACGGCATCCCAAAATAACACTCCAGAATATTTATAGGAATCCACAACTAGCCGGCCTAACAAGGTAAAATTCACATTTGGCATCTAATCAAAGATTATCAGGTAGGCAAATAAGCAGGAAAACAGCAAACTTCGAAGACTTCACAAGAACTATTTGTGATGAAACACAAAGAGAACGTTTTAAAATGAAAAGAGGGGCGCCTGGGTGGCTCAGTCAGTTAAGCGTCCGACTTCGCTTAGATCATGATCTCACAGTTCGTAGGTTCAAGCCCCGCATCAGGCTCTGTGCTGACTGCCAGCTCAGAGCCTGGAGCCTGTTTCCAATTCTGTGTCTCCCTCTCTCTCTGACCCTCCCCTGCTCACGCTGTCTCTCTCTCTCCTAGAAATAAATAAAACATAAAAAAATTTTTTTTTAAATGAAAAGAACAGGGGTGCCTGGGTAGCTCAGCTGGTTGAGCAGCCAACTTCAGTTCAAGTCATGATCTCACAGTTCCTGGGTTCAAGCTCGACATCAGGCTCTGGGCTGACAGCCTAGAGCCTGGAGCCTGCTTTGGATTCTGTGTCTCCTCTCTCTGACCCTCCCCCCCACACACTGTCTCTCTCTCTCAAAAATAAATAAACATTAAAAAATTAAAAAATTAAATAAAATGAAGAGAACAACAGTGAGCAATGGGACAAGTTTAAGTGGCCTAATAATGTTTGAAACTTAAGTCCTAAACAAGGTGGGGGATAGAAAAATGTCTAGAAAATTTTCCAAATTTAATGAAAACTATGAACCCCCAGATCCAAGAAGTTCAATCATTCCCAAGAACAAGAAATATTAATAAAAAAAAAACTATACCAAGGGCCAACATAAAAGTCCTGTTCAAAACCAATGATGAAAACAAAAATCTTACAAGCAGCCTGAGAAAAAGATAAAGTCCATAAAAATGAAAATAAGGCAAGGGAACACAATGGAATATCTGTCAAGTATTCAAAGGCAGTCAACCCAGAATTCTTTAACCCAGCAGAAACATCTTTGAAAACCAAAGACAAAATAATAAAGCTGAGAAAACTCCTCATCAGCAGGCCCATATCGCCAAAGCAACCTTAAAGGAAATCTGCAAGCAAAAGGAAAATGACATCAAACCACAATACAAACTTCTACAAAAGAATAATGAAAACTGAAAATAGTAACTATGTGGGTAAATACGGAAGATTTTTTTTTCTTGTTATGTAAGTCTCCTTAGAAGGTAATTTGGAAAAACAGTTGACTGTTAAAACAAAAATACTAACAACGTAGGGGGAGTTTATAACACACCTGTAAGTAGACGTATGGCAACGATAACATATAAAGCCAGGAGGGGATAAATGGAAATACACTCTTCTAAAGTTCTTTTATCTTTTACTCTTTGTGAAAGGACCTATAAGCCAAAAAGAGCAGAGATCAGCAAACCTTTTCTATAAAGGGCCAGTTACAGATTTTAGGCTTTGTGGATCTTACAGTTGTCTCTTTTTCCCTATTCAGCTCTGCGCTTGCAATACAAAAGCAGCCACTGGCAGTATATAAAGAGCCCGCATGGTTGTATTCCAACAGATCTTTCTTTGTGGAGTCTGAAATGTGAATTTCATGTAACTTTCACTTGCCACAAAATATTATTCTCCTCTTCTGATTTTTTTTCAACCATTCAAAATGTAAAAACCATTGTTAGCTCACAGACCTACCAAAGCAGATGGCTGGCCAGATTTTGCCCGGAGGCCACAGTTTGCCAACCATTTAAATAACAGAACAAAGAAAAAGTTATTAAAGCAAGAGCGCTAGGCTGGCTCAGTGGGTAGAGCGTGTGACCCTTAGGTTGTGAGTTTGAGCCCCACATTGGGTGTAGAGATTACTTAAAATTTTTAGTCGGTTAAGCTCCGACTTTGGCTTGGGTCATGATCTCAGGGCTTTTGACTTCGAGCCCCGTGTTGGGCTGTGTGCTGACAGTTCAGAGCCCGGAGCCTGCTTCGGATTCTGTATTTCCCTCTGTCTCTGGCCCCCCTCCTGCTGGCGCTCTGTCTCTCTCTCTCAAAAATTAATAAGCATTAAAAATTTTTTAAAAAGAGAGTACACTGCACCCAACAGAATATCCATTCTTTTCAAGTGCACACATAATGTTCTCCACCATAAAACATTTCTCAACAAATTTACGAGGATTCAAGTCACATGAAGTATGTTCTCAGTCTACAATGGAATTAAATTGAAAATCAATTTAAAAAGCGGGGGGCAGCTGGCTGGCTCAGTCAGAAGAGCATGCGAGTCCTGATCCTGGGGTCATGAGTTCGAGCCCCACATGGGGTGTAGAGATTACTTAAATAAATAAAACCTTTTTAAAAATCAATTTAAAAATGGACATTTGGAAGATGTTCCAAATATCTGGACACCAAATAACATACTTCTAAATAATCCACTGGCCAAGGAAGAAATCAAAAGAGAAATTAGAAAGTATATTGAATTAAATGAAAATGAAAACACAATATATCAGAATTTATGAGAGACTGCGACAGCAGGACTATGGGAAATTTGTTGCATGAAACACCTATATTAGAAAAGGAAGGTCTCAAATGAATGGTCTCAGCTGCCACCTTAGGAAACTAAAAAAAGGAAAAAAAATTAAACCCAAAGTAAGCAGAAGAAGGGCAATAATGAAAGTCAGAGCAGAGATCAATGAAATAGAAAGCAAAAATCCAATAAAGAAAATTAATGAAACCTAAGCTGGTTCTTTGAAAAGATCACTATTTCCTGAGTGTGTCTCACGGGTCAAGCACTGTTCGGTCACTGAAGTTAGAACAGTGGACACAAATAACAAAAAACACAGTACCATCCCTCGCTCTGGCCTTGACGACGGGCCTTCCACCTGGAGTGCTCTCCCCGAGATAATCCACCGGTCTCACTTTCCTGCTTTATTTTTTCCTCAAAGACCTTACGACTTTCAGACATACCATTTTCCTGCCTTTCTTTTATATTGTTTTTCATTTTCTGTCTTTCTTCCTTTCCGCTTCTCGCTCTTTCTCACTTTGTGCCTTTCTTTCCTTCTCCGACCCTTTCTTTCCCTCTTTCTCCTTTTTTTCCCCTCCCCCACTTCCTTCCTGGCTTTCTGTCAGTCTGACCTTCTGTCTATCAATATACCCACCCTTAGAATGTACACTCCACAAGGGCTTAAGTTTTTGTCTGTTTTCTTACTGTTTTATCACAGCACCTAAAACAGGCCCTGGAAAGTGGCAGTGTTCAATAAATACTTAACACATGAAAACCTGCTATAATGGAGCTTACGTTTTCTCTTTGAATGTAAGATTTTGAGATCAGTGCTCAGAAGGCAGAATCTTAGAGGCAAGGCCAAGTATTAATTTTGGAAATCTAAGCCCCAGGCTCATAAAGCAGGAGTTAAGGATCAAAGATCGTATTTGGAGGTAGGAGGTCAGGAGGGGACTGTCTGAACAGTTCTAACAAAGGTCTCAGGACTAGGGTCAGGAAGAGCAATAGAGTTTGGGGATCAATGGATAGGGGTGTGGAGCTCTCTCTGAAACAGAGTTCAAGAAAGGAAGATCAGAAATTAAAGGGCTAAGATCAAAACTGGATAGGAAATTGTTTTTACTAAAGGTTAAGACTTGGGGGTTAGAGCCCAGAAAGTCAAGCATCACAAGTCAGATTTAGGAGTGAAAGGTTAGAAAGCCGGGTTCTGAGACTGATCGGGAATCAGACGTCGGATCCTAGGGCCCGGTTTGGTAGCCTAAGGTTCACTCACGTGTCTCCATCCTCAGTGACGTAGCCAAAGACGAGGGGCGCCCACGACAGACCCGGGCCCAGCTCGGCGCCCAGCCCCGGTCCTCCGGGGGCTGCTGCGTCCGGACCCAGAGAGCCCAGGCCACTGTCGCACCATTCGTCGGCCTCCGCAACTTTCCCCAAGCATGCGACCCCTGCCATGGCCCCCGACGCCTCAGGGGCCCCAGCGGCCGCCCGCCAGTAGCTAGGCTCTGCCTGAAGTCCTGGCGCTTCCGCCCTGCGGGGAATTCCCCAACACTCCCCCTGACTTATCCAATCAGAATGAGGCGAAGAGTACACGCCCCGCCCCCTTACTACATCGTGACCAATCAGAGTATTCAGATGGACTGCGACTCCCTACCCATTCCCACATTTTCCGGGCGCCCTTTACCAACATGGCTGCCGGCGGAGCAGCATGGGACTCGTAGTCCTCCCGTCGCAAGTCTTCCTAACCTAAGAGAGCCGCGCCCCGGACATTGTGTGAAGGCCTGTGTGCCTACGCGATGGTTGCTGGGAGTTGTAGTTCTCTGCCTGGTCTCTGCCCCTTCTGTTTCCGGTGCCGTCACGGGACAGAGCAGTCGGTGACAGCCCCGAGGGCCCCCGCCCGGCGCCCATGGCCGAGCCGGACCGTGAGTCGGGGGCCCCGGTGGGAGGGTCGGGCCGCGCCGGGGCCTGGCTGAGGGCTGCAGGCCCCGGGGCCGAGGACCGGCATGGTGGGGCTGGAGGTTGGGGCTGCATGGCGGAGAGTGGGATTCGGGGGGACGGGAGGTCGTTGCTAAGTGATCCATCCTGCCAGGTTGTTGGGTTTCTGGGTCGCGAGATTTTAAGGGTCCGTTTGCCACGTCCCCCAAGTTACTAACGATCGCGCGTTTCTCGCACCTTGGTTGCTGAGGACCCTCGTTGCTAAGGACTTAGATTGTCGCGGACCCGGTTGCTAAGGGTACCTGGTTGTTAGGGGGAACTGTAGGATGCTAAGGGACCCCTGGTGTCCCCTCCTATCTCTTCCTTCTAGTTCCTGTGTCACCCCCTAAACATACCATCCCCACTGCACCTCCCTTTCTAAAGTCGTCTCTAGTCAGAGTATCTCTTCTTATCTCCTGTCTTCCTTTTTAAACTTCCCTCTGTAAATTTATCCCTCCCTGGGCTCGCGCGCGCTCACACACAGTCACTATTTCCTTCCTCACTTCTAAGTCCTCATCTACGCCCTGAATGCTTTACTTTCTCCTCTCTCTCCTAAACCTTCCTGCCCCGCTCTCGTTGTCCCTCATTAATCACCTCTCCTGTTTGTCCTGTCCACCGTAATATCTGCTTCCCCCCACCCATCCCTCCCCGCCTCTACTCCATTTTTGCCCCCACCTCCCACCCCAGTATAATTAGGTTGGTGGGTCTTCTTGTCCCCTGCCCTTCCGCTTTGAAGCCCTTCCTTCCCCCTTAACCATGCCCCCCACTGTAACCACGTCTGCTCCGCCTCCTCCCCAGCCTCTGACCCTCTGGAGACCCAGGCAGGGAAGGTGCTGGAGGCTCAGGTGAGATTTGGGGAACGGTGGAGGGAAGGAGAGAGATGGACTTGTTCCCACACCCCACACTGGGGGGAGGTGGCAGAGGGGAGACAGTCACCCCAGGGCCCTCAGCTCACTGCCCCACTGTCCCTTGCCCCCCCCCCCCCAACTCCTGCTCAGCCTCTTAGGGAATGGTGGATTCTGGCAATTGTCGGAGCGAGGCGTGCAACCTTAACTGCAGGCCTGCCCTCCCAACCTTTTCTCCTTCCTTGCCCCCTGCCCCGTCCTTTCTGGACCTCATTTATGCTGCGCACGGAAGACACAGGTGTCCAGTTTGATCCCTGGACTCACGGATCGCATGGACAAGTGACTAGAAAACGCCCTCCAGGGGGGATTCTGAAAGTAGCTCGAGGCAGAGTAAACCTTGTGGGGCCACAGGGAGTCCCGCCGGCCCCTTCCCTGGAGGAGTCCGCAGGCTGGTCCAGGCGTCAGACCGGGATACAGACACATCACAGTTAGCGGAGAGTGACTTCGAATTTTCTTAGGCAGTGAGCAGTGGCACTCCACGCAGAGGGCACAGCTTGCGCAAAGACCGGGGGCCGCGAAGGGTGTGATGTGGTCAGCAGTCAGGTGCCTGGGGGTGCTTAGCTAATTATATTCGAGGTTAGCATTTATTGAGTACTTATTCCAGCCAGAGTACTTACTGAATACTCTGCTCAGGGCTCTGTGAACATCATCTCATTTCGTCTTCCCAGAATCCCTGTGGGGGAGCAAGGCCCACGGTGGCCATTTTACAGATGCGGCAGAGCTGTTAAGTGACTCATCCTCTGTCCCCCCCGGCTAGAAGAGCAGGGACTGCTTTGGATCCCACAGTACCGGGCACGTTGCCTTCCAGACACTTCAGGGAGATGGAGACAGGCCACCTCCCAGAGACTTGAAGGCCCCCCCGAGCGCCTCCAGCTCCCCCTTAGGCCAAGTTGCTCCCACATGCTGGGCGGGGCCCCCCAGCCCTTCCACAGAGCCTCACTGTCCGCCGCCTGAAAAGATGCCAAGCCGCCCACAGACGCGAGATCGCCGTTCAGATGTAGGGCAGGCCCGAAGCTGGGAGGCCTAAAGCACCTGACAGATGCGGGCCAGGGCCACGCCGAGGGGGTGAAGGCTTCCTGCCAGGCCCGGGCTTCTCCCCCGCCTGGCTCCCGGGGCCCAACCGCTGCCACAGAAAAAAGGTTTCATGTTCCAGAGGGATCCTCGGTCCCAGAAAGAGAGATTCGGGGACGTAAATTGCAGCATTGTCTGTGACCGGGCAAAACTGGAAACAGCCCAAACGGCTGTCAGCAGACGGGCTCAATGAAGTATAGCTCGTCCTCACAATGCGACGCTATGTAGCTTGCTTAAGGAAGGGGCTGGGTCTGTAGGATATTGTTCCGCGGAAACCGCGAGGTGCAGCGTCGTACTATGGTAGGCCCCATTTCTGGAGAAATAAATGAGTTTTCTATGCAGAGAGAAAAATCTAGAGCGATTGCCATTCTCCTGTTCATAGTGGTTACATTGACCCGGGCTGGGCGAGGGAACTCAGGCAAGCGCCTCAAGTCATGCATTGTCTAATGGCCAGGGTTTTTGCAAAGCTTGTCTTAGGAAGCAATTTTTTTAAAAAAATGTAAATACGTTTGGAAGGGCAGTTCCGATTCAAAAAGGCTTGGGACCAGAGCCGAGAAAGATGGGGGAGGGGGTTGCCAGAGGGGTTTTAAGCAGGAGAGTGAGTTGGTCAGAACCGGGGTTTTGCGAGGTCCATTGCAGGACCCAGCCGTGGTGTAGCGCGTGGCAGGTATCCACTCGTTCAGTGGTGGATGGTTCTGGAGCAACTGCTGGGGGGCCAGACCCTGTTGTTGGTGCTGGCATCCAGCGGTGAACACCAAAGGCCCCCGCCATCTTGGAGCTGACATCATGCTGGACTCCATACACGTTGGTGATCGGATAGTTAGACTGGAGAAGCCAGCAAGAGGGGCTCTTGGAGCCGAGGAGGGGGTGGGCTGACACAGTCAGACCATCGCCCCCAGGGCAGCAGAGTAGATCGGAGGTGGAGGCTGAGTCAGGGAGCTTAGGGAGGAGGCCAGGACAGGGTCCCCAGAGGGAGAACAGGCTGGACCCAGGTGGAGCCCTGGGCTGGGGATGCATCATGCCGGGAGGGCAGGAGGAGGAGACAAAAATTAGGGGACAGAAGCCACACTGAGATGGGACGTAACGTAGGAGGAAGAACAGGTTTGGGGGGGGGGGGGCAAGGCCAGTTTGGAACATGGTGGGAAAGAGAGGCCAGGGGTCACTTGGGGGGAGGCATCCGGGAGACTGTGGGAACCCTGTATCTGGGAACAGAGGGGTAGCACTATCAATGCCTGGGCCAAGGCCATGGCAGCTAGCCCAGGAAAGGTGGAGAGAGGAAGGCCCGGGACAGAGTCTCAGCCCTGCTGTCCGGGAGCCTGACTGAGGGGAGGCGTATATAATGAGACGGAGGGGTCGGAGAGGTGGTGGCCGGGGCTCCCAGCAGGAGCGTCCAGGGCCCCAGGGTGAGGACCGAGGCGTTTCCACCGGCATCAGTCACAGGAGTGACTTGGGTGAGGAGGGCCGCAGGGGTGCAGGGAAGGGCGCCAGGCCTACGTTGCAGGGGACGGGCGGGGCTGCAGGGCGAGGACATGAGACATCAGGGAGTAGTCGGTGCTCCCTGAGCACTCACCCCACCGGCTGCTGCTGGGAGTACCCCTCACCGGTTAACCCATTCCTCTCAGAGAGCCCCCGGAGGCACTGCCCTCTGGGCTCCATTCCAAGATGAGGAGCATCAGGCTCAGAACAGCAGGGACAGTACAGGACACTGCGCCCCTCGGGAGCAGCAGGGCTCCAACGGGGGCAGCCCAGCCCCGAGCCCGCACACTGGCCCCCCGCCGCACCTCCCTTCCTCGGGCCCACTCCCCGCCAGAGCCCTTCCCCCCAGAGCCGGGTGCCACCCTCCCCCCTCCTCCCTCCCTAACCCCACTTCTGGGGCCTGGTCACCCCACCCCCACCCCTTCTAGGACTCAGATTCAGACACTGAGGGAGGAGCGACTGGCGGAGAAGCAGAGAGTGAGTATCTTCCCTGGGAATGGGGTCCTGGGGGAGCCGCTTAAGGCAGGATCCAGTTGCTGCCCTCACCTCCGCCGAAGGTGCCATTCAAAGGACGTAATAATGGGTGCAGAGCCAGCACCTGAGGTCCCTGGCTGTGGGAGGGTAGGGGATCCCCCGGGGTGGGGGGGGGGGGGGGCCTGAGCATCCTGACCGAACGCCCACCCTGCTCCTCTCTTTCTCTCTCTGCTTTTTTGGCCAGTGGACTTCCTGCGGAATTTCTTCTCCCAGACGCTGGGCCTGGGCACCCAAAAGGAGCGTCTGCTGGACGAGCTGACCCTGGAAGGGGTGACGCGCTACATGCAGAGCGAGCGATGTAAGACCCGGGCCTGCTGGGCGCCCTGACTTCTCAGCCCCAGCCACTCGACCCCTTCACGCCTCTTGTTTGCAAGGAACAAGATACCCAACTCAAACTGGCTTGCCCCAAAAGAGGAGTGCAGCCCCTCTAACTAAAAGCCAGCACTGAGAGCGGCTGGATTCGTTCAGAGGCTCGCATGTTGTCCAAAACCTGACCGCCCTGGGGCGCTGTTTTTCCGTTCAAGGTCAGAGGGCGGCTCCCGGCAGGCCTGAAGGCCAGGGCTAGCCCCTCCCCCCTAGAGTGCACCTTTCCTCCTGGGGTTCAAGCAAAAGAGCAGAGATTGGCTCCAGTCGGGCCAGGTTGGGTCACACCTCCTAACCCCTGGCCGGACCGGGGCCACACCTCCATCGCTGATTGGCCTGGCCCTGGGTGAAGATGATGCCTATAGGAATTATCTGGTAGGGTCCTTGGGGTGCCCTGAATTGATAGACATGGAACTGCCTGGCCAAGGGCCTGGCACAGAGCAAGATCCGCGGACCCTATGACAATTATTACAGGAAGCGTGTTTGGGGGGGGGGGTACGTGGGTGCCTCTCTACTAGGTCACCATGTCATTTCTATTTCTCGCTGCGGATTGAGGTCACCAGAGTCTGAGAAACCAGGCCCTCAACGAAAACAATGGACCCTTTGAGGGTCCTGAACAGCCTTTTGTTGAGGACGTCTTCGCCGTCTTCTCCCTCTTCCCCATCCTCCGCTGCTGCCAGCGCCCTGCTCAGGCACCCAGGCTTTCTGCCCTGAACCCCCCTCTCCCAGGGCAGGCCGGGCAGCCGTCTGCACCCAATTCCTGGCCTGGATGCACCCCAAAGAGAACACAAGCAATGGCCACAAAGCTTTTGTTCCTTGCTTCCTCATGTGCTTGGGTGTTAGGACAGCGGCTCATGAGGCTGCCTGTGAGGGAGCAGAGTAAAGGGCAGCAGTTAACTGAGCCCTCACCGTTTGCCAGCAACCGGGCTAAGCACTTGATAGGCGCCCTGTCGTTTGGTCTTCCCGTTGTACCTGTGAATGTCATCATGAGGGTGATCTGGACAGAGGAGGAAGCAGAGGCACAGAGAGGCTGTGACTTGGTGCAGGGTCACACAGCTTGCAAGAGGTCAAGTCAGGACTTGACCCCAGGCCCCCTGAATCCAGACCATGTGCTCCCTCCTGTGTGGCCCCAGCTGGGGCCTGGCCCAGGGGCATCCCCGAGCCGAAGCTGAGGGCATCGTCCCCCTTGCTGTCCTGTGCACAGGACACGCCAGAGGTACCCTGTCCAGGGGCCTCCCACTTGTGTCTGTCTGTCAGCTGATGGGCAGACGCCAGAGTGCCATGTGCCAGGGCTGTCCGCAGGCCAGCAGCTGACGGGGCAATGGGGCTATTTCTGCACAGCCCCGGGCGCTTGTGAAACAATTCAACTCTTACCAAGACTTCCCATTTTCTTTTCTTTTGTTTTTCTTATTTTTAAAGTTTATTTATTTTGAGAGGGGGAGGAGCAGAGAGAGAATGAGAGAGAGAGAGAAAGAGACGGAATACCAAGCAGGCTCCACGCTGTCAGCACAGAGCCCAATAAGGGACATGATCTCACGAACCGTGGAAATCAAGAGTCAGGCACTCAACCGACTGAGCCACCCAGGCGCCCATTTCCATCTTCTTTTCAGACAGCCGGGAAAAAAATGGGGGAACAAAGGACTTACACGTGTACAAATCCTGGGTCTCAAGAAGTACAATTAACTCAAAGAATAATAGCAAACACATATGTAGTGTTAGCTCGGTGCCGGGCACTGATCTAAGCTTTACATGAATGAATTCATTCTCTGGATGGCCCCATGAAGTCAGTACTGTAAGTAAGGATGTCCATTTTACAGAGCAGGAAGCTGAAGCCCAGAAGGGAGGTCTGAACTAAGACACCTCCCCCTCACTGGCGAGGAGGAGAGCCAGGATTTGAAGCTCTTATCTCCCTGCTTTTCACTGGATGTGGGCCAAGAGTGGCAAAGCTTTGGCCTTCACCAGAAAATCATCAGCCTGATGTTTGGTTGATGACAGAGGAAAGGAATATGCTGCAAGAATGTATATGATATGCTAGAAATAGATGTCATTCAAGACTGTGTCCAAACGGTGAGGCCTGGGGGCACCTGGGTAGCTCAGTCGGTTAAAGGTCCATCCTCAGCTTAGGTCATGATCTCAGGGTTCGTGAGTTCGAGCCCCGCATCGGGCTTTGTGCTGACAGCTCAGAAACGAGCCTGCTTCGGATTCTGGGTCTCCCTCATTCCCTGCCTCTGTTCTGCTCACACTGTGTGTGTCTCTCTCTGCCTCTCCCCTGTTTGTGTTCTCTCTTTCTCAAAAATAAATAAAGAGTTAAGGGAGGAAAAAAGTGAAGAGTGGCCAGAGATTTTTACAATAACCTGTAGCTCTTCCAGAAGACACCTGTGGCCCCCAGCCTTCTCACTAAGATCTGCACTTTCTCTAGAACTAGTCAGGAGGAGAAACTTCCCTCCACGTGCCCTTTTCTCGAATCTAAGTTGGCATAATTTCAAACCATAGATTCCTTGTCCCCATCCTGGCTTTGCAACCCGTTGACTGTGTGACCCTTCCTCTCCCTGAGCCTTGGTTTCCTCGTCTGTGAAATGGGGGTGTTAACTCCACCCACCTTGAGATGTTCGGGAAGACCATTCATGCATTTGAAATGTCTGCCCCAGGGCCTGGCCCTGAACCAACAGTCTGGGGGGCTGTGATGTTCTTTTGGGGCCGAGCCCACTGTCACCTGATGCCTCAATTCCTCTCCTCCAGGTCGCAGGGTGATCTGTTTGGTGGGAGCTGGGATCTCCACGTGTAAGTGCCTCCTCTCCCCCAGTAGCCATCGTCACATTGGGGGATCCCCTTTCAGAGGCTGGGGGGAGCCACGTCTGGGCCCTCGACGGGGGAGGAAGGATGGGGTATAGATGGGGCCCAGGTCCCTGACCCGTGCTCCCTGCCCCTCCTCCCCCAGCTGCGGGCATCCCTGACTTCCGCTCCCCATCCACGGGCCTCTACGCCAACCTAGAGAAATACCATCTTCCCTACCCGGAAGCCATCTTTGAGATTGGCTACTTCAAGGTTTGTACTCCCCAGGGGGGAGTGTCCATAACGGTGGGGGGATGGGATCGCCCAGTGGGGAATGGGATCACCCGACTGCAGGTCTCAGTTCACCATCGGGATGCCGGTTCTGTCTCCCACAGAAACATCCAGAGCCCTTCTTTGCTCTCGCCAAGGAACTCTATCCTGGGCAGTTCAAGGTGAGCTCTCTTTTCTCTGGTGGACAGGAAACTCGGGGCAGGTAGGGGCATGGAAAAGCTTCTTCCTCTGAGGCCTTTCAGACAAATGCCACATGGGCCCCGGGCTGCCTGGGTCCTACCCCTGGTCCCTCATTTTCTGCCATTGAAGAAAATGAGCCTTGAGCCTCAGTTTTGTTATCTGTAAGATGAAGCTGATGATAGCCTATGGGACTTCTTGGAAGGCCTCCCTGAATTAACAGTCCATGTAAGACCCCAGATGGGAGCCAGGCTGCTTTTGGGCAGACCCCAGGTCGGCACCCGTGTGATTTTGTAAACCAGTTCACCTCCTGTGCCTCAGTTTCCTCATCCGTGAAATGGGGCTAGCGCCACCCAACCCCCCCCCCCCAACCCGCCCCAGACCGATGTGTGATGATTCCATGAGACAGAACAGCCAGGGCGCCTAGAAAAGTGCCTGGCTCACTGCGACCCGCAGCCAACGTGCTCTGTCATTATCACAATGTTGGGATTGCTCCCCTCCAGCCCACCGTCTGCCACTACTTCATCCGCCTGCTGAAGGAGAAGGGGCTGCTGCTGCGCTGCTACACGCAGGTAGGGGCTGCGGAGGGCAACCCCGGGCAGAGGGCAGAGGGGGACCTGCCGGGGGTGTCCTCAGGCTCGGGCCCGGCCCAATTCCTTGCCACGTGACCCGCAATGAGTCCCCTACCCCCTCTCAGCCTCAGTCTCCCCTTCTGTAAAGCAGAGGCCAGAACAGCTTGGCCCTTGGCCCTTCGGGTCCCTGGTGGCTCGGCAGCGAGCTCCTCTGGGAGCCATCCTGTGCATGGCGACAAAGGACCTCACACCTGAGGGGCCGCTCCAGGCACTGTGGATTTCACATTTGGTTAGGAGTTTCCGTACATGGCCACAGAGTGACTCGATCTAACCAAATCGGTACATTTTGACCATTTGCCAGCTGCTGAGCACGGAGCCTAAAGGAAGAGGGGGCTTTAAATAGTGTGCCCTGAGGCGGGGTAGTGTGGGGGCCATGGCTCCTGCGTGGCAGGTGCTTAGCCGAGGCCTGGCCCTGGGGTTCCCTGGCAAGGACAGCTCCCATAGTTGGCTTCTGGATGAGTCTGCAAGGTGCTTCTGGGGTCTCGCACCCCTAGCGGTAAAAACTGCGCCTCTACCTTTGTTTTATGAGCTTGTGTTTTATGAACGCGTGTGAATACGCATTGGAGTGATGTAGTGCGGGGCGCCTGGGTGGCTCAGTGGTTAAGCATCGGACTTCGGCTTAGGGCGTGATCTCCCGGTTCGTGGGTTGGAGCCCCGTGTGGGGCTCTGTGCCAGAGCCTGCTTCGGATTCTGTGTCTCCCTCTCTCCCTGTCCCTCCTCTGTCTGCTTTCACTCGGTCTCTATCTCTCTTTCTCAAAAATAAATAAACAGTAAAAAAAAAAAACTGAAAAGAAATTACGTGATGAACAGGAACAGTGATATCACACTCTACGTGAGACTCAAAAACCCAAAATTAGAAGAGAGAGAATACTTGAGCGTAAACAGTGTCCTAACTCTCTCTTCCTGCATCTGCAGCCCACGAGGCTGCCACGGCGGGGGGATTTTTTTTTTTTTAAGTCCAGATTTCTCAGATGGGGTCAGGCGCTCCTGCCTAGCTGGCTCGGGCCGGTGGTGGCAGCTGGGGAAGGGACAGCTGTCTCCTTCCAGGAGGACACCCCGTCCCCCGGCTCAGGAAAAACCCCACCTTTCTTCCCAGAGTCAGTTTCATCCACGGGACGTGGCTCAGACAGGCTACAAACCGCTTGCTTGAAACCCAGTGCCTTCCAGGCATGACTTCCTGAAATTTCCATCACAGCCCTGGTAGCCATCTTCTGTCAGGGGTGTTTACTGAGCGCAGGCCTGGTGCCAGGCCCTGCTGGCAGCGACGTCCCCGCCCCCCTAGGGCCACTAGTCTCCTGCATACTGGGCAAGATGGATAAGGAGAGCTTGTCAACAAGATGTCAGGGAAGACCTCACTGAGAAGGGGACTTTTAGACAAAGACCTGGAGCCGGGGGAAGGGGGGATGATCTTGGGGGAGAGTGTGTTCCAGGCAAAGGGGACAGCCAGGGCAAAGGTCCTGAGGTGAGAGCGTATTTGGCGTGTTCGAGAAGCTGGATCTGAGTGAGCAGAGAGAATGGCAGTAGAGAATGGAGGAGACAAGCTCAGGGAGGTGACGGGCAGATCGCGGGGTGGGGGTGGCTTCTTGGGGCCACAGGAAGGGCTTTGTCCTTTAGGCCGCCACTGAGTAGGACAGTGCTGCAGGGGAGGGGATGTGACCTGACCCAGGTGTCCCTCTGGCTGCGGAGGGGACAGAGCGAGGAGGAGGCCAGGAGGAGGCCGCTGTGACAGTCCCAGCAGGAGAAGGGGCCAATGAGGGGAGAAGTGTTTCTCCAAAACAGATTGGTTTTGAAGGTGGAGCCTGGTTGTGAGCGCAGCCGAACCCCCCTAGCCCCTCCCTCGGGAGCAAGCGGGCTCTGGTACTTGGAAGCCGCATAAATCCCTGCTGGGTTGGTGCAGGGGGGGAGGCGCAGGCAGTGCTCGCCTACTTCCCACGCTCTGTGTGCGATTCCACTGCACCTGCGGCCCTAGAACGCCGGTGACCGAAAACAGATAAACGTGGAAAAACACGTTCCACTCTCATCTGTCAAGAAACTTTTTTTTCACACTTGCCACCCTCTCCATCAACCTCGGCCACTTTTTGAGTCACTGACCCCGTTTTCTGGAACACATTGCCTTCACTGCTTTCTGAATTGCGATGAGACAGCACTTTTGGAGCTCCGTGGGATGCTATTTTTATCTCAAGATACAAGTATCCGTTCGTGAGAACGCGCCCTGTTCGCTCAAGCCACCGTGAGGCCGCAGCAAAGCGGCTTCGGGTTCCTTTAAATGCGTCCAGGCCATTTACACTGCACACATTTACACTGCACATAGGGCTGGGACTTGGCGTGTTTTCATTTCCTGTGTGGAAGACTCTTCCGTATCCACCTCTTTGTTTCTTTCTTTTCTTTCTTTTTTCCTTCCTTCTTTCTTCCTTCCTTCCTTTCCCTTTCCTTTCTTTCTATTTTATTTTTAAGGAATCTCTACACCCAGCATGAGACCTCGAACTCACAACCCCGAGATCAAGAGTTGCCCGCTACCCCAGCTGAGCCAGCCAGGCGCCACCGCCCCCTCCCCCCTCCCATCTTTCAAAGCTGCCATTGCCATCATGTCCAGCAGGGGGACGTGGTGTTTTGAAACAAGAAGGGAGCCAAGGTTTAAAAAGCAAGAGATTTCAGATGCAAATCCACACTTCAGGGGCACTTGGGTGGCTCAGTCGGTGGCTTGAGCATCCAGCTTCGGCTCCGGTCATGATCTCTCTGGTTTGTGGGTTCGAGCCCCGCATCAGGCTCTGTGCTGACAGCTCGGAACCTGGAGGCGGCTTCGGGTTCTGACTTTCCCTCTCTTTGTCCCTCCCCCGCTCGTATTCTGTCTCTCTCTTTCTCAAAAATAAAAAATGTTTAAAAAAAAAAAAAAAAAGGAAAAGAAATGAAAAGCCAGACTTGAGGCTCATCTTGAAACTTGAGAAGAGCCGGCTGCCCCCTGGGTGGCTTTCCCAGGGGGAGCTCTTGGCTGGAGCTGAGTGGCCACTGCCCACCGTTACCCCTGTCCTCACCGTGCTCTGCTTCCTGCTTCACGCCCAGGCCACATGTCGCTTGCTGTATACCATCATGCTTTCATCATTAATCGCTGCTAATCCTTCCTGGGGCCATACCCCCCAGCCTCCTGCTTCCCTCCCTCGTGGCCCCTGCTGTTGCTGATTTCTCCTATCACCTTTAAAAATATTCTATATGTGGGACTCCTGGGGGGCTCAGTTGGTTGAGCATCTGACTCTGGATTTCGACTCAGGTCACGATCTCACAGTTCATGAGTTCGAGCCCCACGTCGGGCTCTGTACTGACAGTGTGGGGCCTGCTTGGGATTCTCTCTCTCTCTCTCTCTCTCTCTCTCTCTCCCCTTCTCTTTACCTCTCCCCTGCTCCCTCTCTCTCAAAATAAATGAATGAACTTAAAAAAAAATTCCTTTCTTAAAAAAAAATTCCATACGAAGGTCAAACAAACAGGCACATGTTCCCACAGCCTTTGTTCCTCTGTGCCTTTTAACATCTTGGAGAGATTATTTCAATATCAGGGCATACAGGTCAGCCTCAGTCTTTTCTTGTTTGTGGTTTCTCTCTCACAAGTGGCCTCAGAGAATAACAATAAGTAGTTCTTTTACGTGCCCGTTATTTATTTGCGTGCACGCTGCTGGCACGCGTGTGAGCGAGGCAGTAGACTGAGTCAAGTAACAAAGGCAGAAACTAACGCAGGGGGAGGGGCAAGGCCGCCAAGCGAGTGTCTGGGAACAGTGGCTCTTGTCTGCGCATTTGGGGAACAGGCTGATTGCTGGCAGGGAGCAGGGAGCGCGGCTGGGGCCGTCTGCCCTTGAAAGAGAATCCTCTGGGTTGTTCGCAGCATCTCAGCTGTAGGCCGCACGTGACCGGCCGTCTCTGTGTGGCATCGGCTGGTGTGCTCTGTCAGCACCTGCCTCTACAGCATTTCTCGCGGGCAAACAAAAGCTGCTCCCAAGGGGCTGCGTGCTTTAAGCAAAATGAGAGCACACGTGTCTATGTGGAAGAGAAGAATAGCTAGCGGAAAAGACCTGAGTCTTAAAAGAACACAAGTTAATGTGCCATCTCTGAAACAGCCCCCTCCGCATAAGAAACCTGACTGCTAAGTAGGAAAATAGGGATGGAGAAAACCAAATAAACCCTCCTGATTCCTTTATTTATGTTAATGCTTGGCCAGAGCTGCCACATACAGCGGTGCAGGTTGGGCACTGCACAAGGATGCCACATCTGAGGGGGCTCTATTTACCACGGAGGCATTGTAGGTTTGTATGTTAATTTTGACACATTTCTGGCAGGCGGCACTAACCAAACAACTTTTCTGAGAAATGCTAAGGTGTCTGAATGTGCGGGAAAACTCCATATGGGCTGACGGTGGCAGTGGACCTGGGCTCACAGACACAAGTTTGGGCCCCACCTTGAATCATCTGGGGCTTCCACACGGTCAGGGGCCACTATCGGGGTGAGAAGAGAGCAGTTTATAGGCACACCCCGCCCCGTGCTTGCTTTTCTTGGCAACTGCCTGCGCTGCCCGGAGGGGTGTGCCGCACCGCTGAGCCTCTTCCCCGCCCCCCCCCAGAACATCGACACCCTGGAGCGAGTGGCTGGGCTGGAGCCCGAGGACCTGGTGGAGGCGCACGGCACCTTCTACACGTCGCACTGCACCAGCGCCCTCTGCCGACGGGAGTACACGCTACGCTGGATGAAAGGTGAGGCGCAGGAGGCTGTCCCCGAGGGCAGGGCCCCCACGCCGTGGACACCCATTCTGTCCTGCTCAGTAGATGATGGCAGCACCCCAAGATTGGAGGGGGCAGCGGGGTTTCATTGCTGCCAACACCGCCTCACAAGCAGGTTATGACGGAAGCAAGCTCCAGACCAAATTCGGTCCCACAGCCGCCTCAGGCTGTTCTCTGAGGTCACGACACCCTAGCTCTTTGCCCTTTGAGGGGCTCCCTTCTTACCTTACGCGAGGGGCCCATGATGGCAAACTCAACGACCTTCTGAAAAGAGCAGAACTATCTGATAGAACTTTCGGAGAGGAGGGAAATAGTCCCTGTCTGCACTATCCAGTATGGCAGCCAACGCTCAGGTGGTCGTTGAGCACTTGAAAATGTGACCGATGAATGGAATTTGTCGTTTTGGGGTCATTTTTATGAGTGTAAATGTTGAAAGCCATGACCATGACCGCCTTATCCGACAGCACTGGTCTAGAGGCACGGGATCCAATAACCCATTAGTCTGGGTCAGGCAAGCAGATCCCATGGGGTGCCAGGCATGGCCAAGGACGCAGATTGGGGGGCGTCCCTAGGGACAGGCTATAGGGCTTGCTGAAGTCAGAGTCCCTGTTCACGGAAGGGCAAAGTGTCAAAAAGAAAAAGGGCAAAAAATTCAGCCGGCCCACATTTCTTGAATGCCAGCGAGAGCCTTTGCCTGACACCCATTGTGCAGCTAAGAAGCCACACATTTCCCCCATGGAAAGCCATCTCTGACGCTCTTTATGCTGATCTCACAAAGCCCCTGGTGTCCGCGTGAGAAGCGACAGCTGCATATTTGCTGTGGGGCCCCCGGAGCACGAAATGCCAGCTGACCGCCCCTGGGGCCAGGAGTCTTGAATAGCCCCCGTGCGCGCAGCTGGGGGCAGGGTACAGAGGCACATGACCCCCTTCCGCCTCGACGCCAGCAGTAGCCCCCGCAGCCGCCCCCCCCCCCACCCAGAACCTCACGCTGTCGCCTCCGACGTTCCTAAGAAAAAACGGTGCTCTGTAAATATTCGTCGAAGGAACGAAGGGTTGACCAAATCAGCTAGGGTTCTGGGACTTGCAAGCGACAGAGTGTGTTCAAGCTTCCTTAATCGATAAGCAGTAGGGAGCATGATGGTTATAAGGCTGGGGGAAGGGGGGTGTCCCCATCCCACGGTCATGGACACACTAGGCCTCTCGCCCAGGATAAACTAGGGCTCCCCTCAAAGCCGTGCTCGGAGAGCTTTATTGTCCAGGTGGGGGTGGCGGGATCGTGTGGCATCTGAGGGGCAGCGTCTGCGCGTTCACCGTTCTGGTGTTAATTCTTTAATTCCGGAGCCACCCCGGAATCCTGGGGGGCGGGGCAGGTGGGGGCAGCTCCCTAAGCAGGGAGCGAGGCCAGCACCCCCGAGGGCCCCCAGCGCCTGACAGTGAGGGAGGCGGGCAGGCTGCAAAGCACACACTATAGCCCTGAGTGGCTCACCCCCTCCTCCCCCCTCCCCCACGCCCAGAGAAGATCTTCTCCGAGGTGACTCCCAAGTGTGAGAAATGTCACAGCGTGGTGAAGCCTGGTGAGCCCCGCCCCCGCCACGAACCCCGCCCACCCCGCCTCCGGCCACCCTCTGTCCCTGCCCAGTGCCCTGGATGTGCCCCCCAGGAGAAGGGGTTCTGCTGCCCCTAACCTGTCCCAGCTGCTCTGCAGCTCCCGCCCCCGCCCTGGGGACAGCCTCCTGCTCCCGCCCCTTTCCTCCCTCGCTCTTCCTCTCTCCCCCTTTCTGTCTCTCTCTCTGTCCCTGTCTCTGCCTCCCGTTTCACCTTCCCTTTCCGTCTCTGTTTCTGTCTCTGTGTCTGTGTCCATCCAACTCTGCCTCAGACATCGTGTTCTTCGGTGAGAACCTCCCGGCAAGGTTCTTCTCCTGCATGCAGTCAGTAAGTGCCCCCCCACGCCCCGCCCCTCGCTCCCCTGCATGCAGTCAGTAAGTGCCCCCCCACGCCCCGCCCCTCACTCCCCTGCATGCAGTAAGTACCCCCCACCCCACGCTCCCCTGCATGTAGTCAGTAAGTGCCCCCCCATGCCCCGCCCCTCACTCCCCTGCATGCCTGCATGTAGTCAGTAAGTGCCCCCCCACACCCCGCCCCACGCTCCCCTGCATGCAGTCAGTAAGTGCCCCCCAACACCCCGCCCCACGCTCCCCTGCATGCATGCAGTCAGTAAGTGCCCCCCACCCCACCCCATGCTCCCCTGCATGCAGTCAGTAAGTGCCCCCCGCCCCGTCCCCCACTCCCTTGCATGCAGTCAGTAAGTGGCCCCCCACCCCATGCTCCCCGAAGTTGGGGCAGCCAGGGCTGTGCCCTGGGCAGGTGGCTTCCCCAACTAGCTGCAGGTGGAGGATGGGAGGAGGCGGCCGGGCCTCCGTTGAGCCTCCGGAGCCCTCACTGGCTGCCCCTCTTCACAGGACTTCCTGAAGGTGGACCTCCTCATCATCATGGGCACCTCCCTGCAGGTGCAGCCCTTTGCGTCCCTCATCAGCAAGTAGGTTGGGACCGCGGGGGGGCTGCTGGGATCTGGGGGGGCCGGGACAGGTGCTTACCACTCAACTCACCATCCCCCAGGGCACCCCTGTCCACCCCGCGCCTGCTCATCAACAAGGAGAAGACTGGGCAGGTGAGTTGGCTCCCTGTGGAGGCCCCTCTGTGTTCCCCTCCCCCTCCTCCCCGGGTCCCACCTGCCCTTTCACTGGCTTCCTGGAGATCTGGGACCCTCAGCTCAGAGCCAGGAGCTCCAGAATCCGGGGGGGTCAGATGCCAGGCCACCCGGCCTCTAAGATCCTACAGGTACTCTGGGTCACTCGGGACTCTCTGAACAAGTGACAGATTCCAACTCAGAGCAACTTCAGCCATAACGGGAAGGCCATGCCTTCTGCAAGTGAAGAGTCGGGAGGGTTGGCCCGGAGCCCGCAGCACTGTGCGGGGAGGTGCCCACTCCCCCTTCCAGCTCTTTCCCTGCCGTGGCCGCCCTCCCTCATCCCTGGGGAGCCTGGTTCCTCGAGCAGCCCCAACATTCCCTGTGCCAGACGCTGTCCTGAGTACTTTCTTAACAGGCTCCACACCCAATGTGGGGCTTGAACTCACCACTCTGAGATTAAGAGTTGTGTGCTCTCAGGGCGCCTGGGAGCTCAGTCAGGTGCCCCCTAAATACTTTCTAAGTAGTAACCTGCTGCCGGTACAATGCTAGGAGTGGCTTGGTGGTTGCCCCCACTCTATAGATGAGGAAACTGAGGTTCAGAGAGGTCAAGTCACTTGAGCAAAGTCACAGAGCAGGGAACGAGCCCAGGCCACCCGGCTCCAGGGTCTGTGCTCTGAGCGCCCCCTCCCCCGCAGACCGACCCTTTCCTGGGGATGATGATGGGCCTTGGAGGAGGCATGGACTTCGACTCCAAGAAGGCCTACAGGTGAGTCCTGGGCCTGTGCGGGTCAGGGCCAAGGTGCGAAGGAGGGTGTGAAGGCACCCGGACTGGGAAGAGTGGGCAGGGGCCTGGGACGGGCCTGGGACCAGCTCTGACTGTCCCACTCACAGGGACGTGGCCTGGCTGGGTGACTGTGACCAGGGCTGCCTGGCCCTTGCCGACCTCCTCGGATGGAAGGTAAGGTGTGGGGCCACCTCGGCCCGGCCTGACCCCAGTCCCTAGACCCCTGCCCCACGGGTCCTCTGACCACAGGATGCACGGTGACCTCTGACCTTGGTGAACTTCACCCCCAACCCCGCAGAAGGAGCTGGAAGACCTTGTCCGGAAGGAGCACGCCAGCATAGACGCCCAGCAGGCGGGGGCGGGGAACCCTAACCCCAACCCTTCAGCTTCGCCCAGGAAGTCCCCACCTCCCAGCAAGGAGGAGGCCCGAACCACGGAGGGAGAGAAACCCCAGTGACAGCGTGTCTCCGGGGCAGGACCCGCCCCCCCGCGCCCGCGGGCCAGCAGAGCCCCACAGCCCTGGGCCCCTCTAACTTGCCGCTCTCGTGTGGGGAGCTCAGAACCTCATCCTGGCCTCTTAACTGCTCCCTCTCAAAACTGGGTTCCCAGCCCCTCACCCCCCCACCCCCCCACCCCCCCACCCGTCACCTCTGATCCTGGCTGGTCTCTAACAGCTCCCAGGGCCGAGGCCGTCTCTAACCACCCGCAGGGCCGCAAGGCAGCCCCCCCTAACCTCTAACTGCTCCCCGGGCCTGGGCCACCTCTAAACTCCTAACTACTCTGGACCCGGGCCCCAGGGCTCCCGGGGCTCCCCGTGCCCTCCACGGCTCCTGGGGGCCCGGGGCCAGGTAGGCCCGGTGCCGCAAGCGTGGGTGCCTCAAACACCCCCCTGTCTGCGGGGAGCCGAGCCCGAAGGCCTCCCGAGTGTGTACCTCCGACTCCCGAGGCGGGTGCGATGCCGTCCCCTTCCCTTGGGACCCGCTGCCCACGCAGGGAGGGGCAGACAGTGTTGCTCACTGGAGACAAATTAAAAACAAAAACAACTAACAATCAGGTGTCGGCCTCCCTGTTCCTTGCGCGGGCACATCAGGAAGCGCGGCGGAGAAACAGCAGAGGGGACTCTGCAGCCCGCGAGAGCCCGGGGCTCTTCCCCCCCCACCCCTGGGCCCCCAAGCGGCCCCAGTCCCTTCCTCCGAAGCCTAGTCATCTAAGGCCTGAGCCCCCAAAAGAGGGGAAGGTTGCTTTCAGATCCCCCCCCAGCCCCGCCTCTTCCCCCACCCATTCAGCTTCCTCTCTCTGTGAGGAACACTTTCACTTCCTGCTACTCCAGGCCTCCCCTCGAAGAACAGGTAGGGGTCCCCAGGGACCGCATGTCACCCCCCCCCCACTGCCTCCCTCTGGTGTCAGGTTGCCATCCCCATGCTGCCCTCCCCAGCACCACCGGCCTCCTCTTCCTATCCTGCGACCCAGGCGAGCATCTGCCTCCCGGCCCCCACCCCTGCTGCCGGCTCTCCCCCGGACGGGGCGCCCACTCACTGTCCCCACCCTTCCCCAAAGCCTGGTTTCTGGTCAGCAAGCCGAGTGATTCGTTAAGCTACTCATTACCCGTCTCCTATACCACCCCAAGCAAGAATGGAGGCCCCTGAGAGCAGGGGCCTGTCCTGTCCACCGCCTTCCCCCCAGGGACTGGCACCTCACTCTGGGCTGTACTTCTTCAGTGTTTGTGCACAGACGAATGGCCCCAGCCGTCTCACTCCCCGGACGGCCGGGGGGAAAATAGTCCAAAAATGCCCACCTCGAAGCATAACCAACCCACTCTAGCTAGGGCTGTGTGCTGGCTTTAAGAGTTGAGGCCCAGGGGCGCCTGGGGGCTCAAGTCAGTTAAGCATCCAATTCTGGCTCAGGTCACGATCTCACAGTTTGTGAGTTCAAGCCCTGTGTGGGGCTCTGTGCTGACAGCTCAGAGCCTGGAGCCTGCTTCGGATTCTGTGTCTCCCTCTCCCCCTCCGGCCCTACCCCCACTCACGTTTTGTCTCTCTTTGTCTCTCTCTCAAAAATAAATAAAACTTAAAAAAAAAAGAGAGAGAGAGAGACAGAAAGTTGAGGCCCGGTGGGGGCACCTGGTTGGCCCAGCCATAGAGCATACGACTCTTGATCTCAGGGCCGTGAGTTCAAACCCCAGATTGGACGTGAAGGTCACTTAAAATTAAAAAAAATCTTTTTTGGGGGCTCCTGGGTGGCTCAGTCGGTTAAGCATCTGACTTCGGCTCAGGTCATGATCTCATGGTTTGTGAGTTCGAGTCCCGCATCGGGCTCTGTGCTGACGGTTAGCTCAGAGCCTGGCGCCTGCTTTGGATTCTGTGTCTCCCTCTCTCTCTGACCCTCCCTTGCTCACGCTGTCTCTCTCAGAAATAAATAAAACATTTCAAAAAATAGCTAGTGTTAAAAATTTAAGGGTTGAGGTCTAATCGATAGAGGGGACAGATGCATTACAAAGCAAAAAGTGGCAACTATAAAATCTAGGTAGTGAGTATATGAATGTTTCCTGTAAAATTCTCTCCTTTTTTCTGAACGTTTGAAAACCTTCACAATAGAATGTTGCGGGGTGGGGGTTGGGGGTAGGAATACTTGAGGGCCCTTCTGTGGTCTGGGAAGAGAGGCAGAGGGGGTGTCATATAACATAATGGCACCTTGACGAAGTGCCCACGTTTATGGGCCGACCACTTGCCCAGACACTACGCTGTTAGGAATCTGAAGCGTGTCCATATCGCTTGGTGAACAGCGGTCAGTTTGGGTCCTCCCCCTGTCCCCTCCCCACCAGGACCCACTGGCCTGCCTTCTGGAGTCCCCAGATCTCTCCACTGTCCAGCCACTGAAGAATTGACACCCAGCCCAGCAAGGGAGCCTTGGGTCCATTCTGATTGGCCAGAGTCTCTGCTATATTGATTGTAAATACTTTGCCTATTACCCCTGGATTGGAGCAGCCTTGAACCTCACCTTCCCGCCAGAGGACAGACCATGGCTTGCTGGACTCCCAGATCCTGAAGATGGCCCGGCCAGAGGACAAGGCCTCTGCAGGCCTCATCAACGGGGAGAGGTGAGGGCTGCGGGGGCTGGGGTGTCCGGCTCCTGCCCCCAGGTTCCAAAGGCACTTCCACCGAGTACCCACCTCCCAGAGGACCCTGAATCTCCTCTCACCCCTGGGCTGCCCCATCCCGCACCTTGGACCCCACTGTAGCGTCCTGCTGCCCACCTGTAACCTCTCATCTGCTGGCCCCTGCACGTCCCAGGCCGGTCCCACCACAGGTGAATGGAGCAAGTGAGACCCCCTTAGGGGTCCTCGGGACCACAGAGCCACTCCTTTGCCTGCGCAGGACACGGGGGGTGTGGCAGATCCCAGAGCTGGACGCTCTGCATGCAGAAGCCCTTCTTGAGTCGTGGCCACCGGGGGTGAGTATTCACAACCAGGGACCTTCTCTGACCCTCCCCATGACACCGTGGGTCACTCAGGACTCTGCCGCCTGCTGGTGACCAGCAGCACAAACTGGGCAAACCAAAAAGTGCCACTTTACTGATTCAGATGACAGAACCCCCCAGAAGTAAGGGGAATTTCGGGAATGTCTGGATCCTGAGCATTAGACCGCTTACAAAGTTCCCTTCGGCCCATGTCTGGGCTCCGCTTTAGACTGTGGGGAAAGCCGAACATTTGGGGCTTCAGGGAGCAAACGCAGTCATTCCATACAGTAGGGTAGGCAAACAGGCACTTCTCTTTGTACCAGAAAGGCTGCTACAGGTTCTAGTTCAGCAGCTTGAGTGACATCAAGGCCAGCTTTTGCAATTCTCTTGGACTTCCTCCGCGGTTGCCCAGTGGCTGCCCCGGGTCCAAGCACATGTGTGTGCTCCAGTCAGGGAGAAGAGAAGAAAGGAAGCACCCGTTATATCTGTTTCTTTTAACAGGAAAACCAACAGCCTTCACAATCGATTCAAAACATACAGGGGGTGGGGGGCAGGTAGCAATATATTTTTTTAATTATTTTTATTATTTGTTTTATAATATATTTTTTAAAGCTTGCCTGGGAATTATAAAGCTAGAGGTGAGAAACACTGCCTACATCATTATCCTTCTTCTCCAGCCGGGCAGATTAGGCCCTAAGCACCCTGCAGTTCTGCAAGGGATAGGGAGTGGACTTGCATAAGGCAACTGTGGGGTGTACACAGCTTCCTTCTCAAGGGGGCTCTCTCCTTGTGGTGGCTGAGATGGCCGTCCCCAGCTTAGGACCACATCTCACAAGTTTAGTAATCTCAGAGTGAAAAAAGGCCTCAAGCCAAAAGAGTTCCAGCAAAAACCTCATGGAAGGTTTCCATTGGCTAGACTTACTTCACATGCCCATGTCTGACCCAATCACAGCGGTTAGAAAGCACTGTCATCCTATTGGCTAGGTCAGGTCACAGACCACCTCTAGGGCTTGGATAGAGTTAGTCCCACCCACAGGGACTCAGGGAGGGAGTGGGTTTCTTTAAAGGAAATTTGGCATGTGGAATGAAACATATGGGAGAGGGATGATGGGCAGACAAAAGTAACAGACATCTGCACAAATACTCTCCAAGATGACTTTTGCCTACACCCCCACCCCCAACCCAGAGTTTCCTGGTCACAGGACACGACCCCAGCCAGGTCCTGGTGTTGAGGACAGGAGCTTCACCAGGAGAAGTCCACACCTACCAGATCCAGAAGCTCCCTGGAGGTAAGGAGCCTACTCCTGAGTTTCCAGTCCACAGCAAATTTGGTGAGCTTTGCTTCCAAAATAATCTCCCAAGTCCTATTTGGTGGCATAAGTGGGATGCAAGCCTAAAAACACAGGAAAAGATGGGGACTTAAAGGGGTAGAAATTTCCCTGTTTTGAAGGGCTGTCGGGGGACTGCAGAACTGAGAAAGAGGGAGTCCCAGCAGGTGAGGCTGCCACCCTTCAACTTTTCTTCCTTGCCCTTTGTTGCCCCACCCCTCAGGTGTGTCTCTGGAATATTCTAACCTCTGTATGCCAGACCTGCCCCACCTCCTGGCTTTCCTATCAGCCAGCAGGTACAAGTTACCCATCAAAAGGGCTAAGGGGATCCATCTCTAAGGCACTCCACCCACTGCAGCTTCCCTTTATCTTTTCTCAGGGATGTTTTGCCCAGAACACTGCTCTTGCCCCCTCCCGCGCTAAGGCTGGGAGATCAACAAACAGGTGAGAGGCCACCTTCCAGGCTTGTTGGTCCAGAAGGATGGCACTTCAGGGGCCAGACTTCCAGAGATAGAATGGGGGCCTGAGAGAGTTGTGGGAGGCTTGACTCCTGGGCCTGAGTGACAGGGGCAAGGCACCAAGCCTCAGGCCCTTCAGTAATGAGGCTGGGAATTTAGTCTCCTGGTACCCTGAAGGAACCAGGGCTGGCGCCTTGGACATCTGGGACATCTCGGTTATGCTGGCTCCCAGGTCTTCCACACACTGGCAGGGTCCAACTCAACATCTCGGAGAAGGTGCTCTCCGTGGTGAACAAGCTTTACCTGGAGACCCACAGAGGGTGCGGTTTGGAGCAGATCACCCTACAGACACCTCCAGGGACTGCAGAAGGACACAATTCAGGTCAGCGGGGCGGGGCCCTGGGCCCCTGAAGGATGAGGGAGCTGCTCCTGCTGTTCTGTGGGGCCGAACCCTCTCCTCACATCCAGCCCCCAGGAATCCTGCCCCTCACCGGGTCTCCTGGGTTGAAGGCCCGCTCAGCCCGGAGGTATACCATGCTGGGCCAACTCTAGCCAGCCTGGTGGAGGAGAAAGAGGGGGATGACGAGGAGGAGGACGGAGATGAGGACACCTACAAAGATGAAGAGAAAGGACCCGACGATGTCCTCACCCATCACATCCAGGCTCTGGCCAGGGCCCGGAGCAGCTACGTGGGCAGACAGTTCCAGAGCCTCAGAGCGCGCCTCACCTCCAGTGCCGGAGGCCCCCACAGGCCCGGCGACCCAGCCACAGAGCTGCTCCAGGATGTGCGGCACCTCCTCACTGACCTCCAGGATCACTTGTCAAAGGACCCCGATGTCAGGGCTGTCTTTGGGAGCAGGGGGCCTGGGGTCCCCCCGAAGGATGAGGACCTTGGTAAGAAGGAGGACCGGGAGGGAATTTACCGCCATGCCCCAAACCTCGTTTGCCATCTCTGGGCCTTACATATGTGTTTGCACCCAACTTCACTCTCTCCATCCGTGTCACCTGTTTGCTTTTGCACTCACGTTGCTTTGTCCTCCATATGGGAACACCTCTTCCGTTCATGGCTGCTCCATCTCTCACGTGGGTGACAGCCATACACCACACCCAGGCTCCCTCTTCCGCCCGTGTTCTCACCCATGTCTACACTTGTGGACGGCCAGAAGCTAGGGAGGGGTGGGGGTCGGGGAGGGGGGTACGGTCAAGTGGAGTGAGAGGGCGGACACGGGTCAGACTAGCGGCCCTTCGCCCACCCACCTCAACCCCTCTCAGGCGCCGCGGTGGAGGCGGCCCTGTGCCAGGCGGTGCTAGCGCCCCTGAAGCCCGCCCTGTGGACGCGACTCCGCACGCTGCGAGCCAGGGAGCTGCGGCGACTGCGGCAGCGACAGATAGCCCTGCGGGCAGAGGCGGGGCCTGAGGGGCAGGGCCCCGCTCCCGCCCTGCGGAGCCGCATCCACGCGCGCCTGGAGCACCTGCACGGCGCCTGCGCCCCACGCCGCAAGGTGGCGCTGCTGCTGGCGGTGTGCAGTGACGTTTACGCGGGCCTGGCTCAGGGCGAGAACCAAGGTAAGGGAGGCTTCCCTGCGTCTACTCGGATGGGCGGTAGCTGGAGCGAGTGCAGGAGTGAGGCGGGAGTGAGGCGGGAGGCGCCCGTGTGCACGTCGAGGGGAGAGGGTGACACGCCCTAGCAGGGGGCGTCTACGCGGGCCTGGGGATCCACTAAGGGGCGTTTGCATGCCCAGCGAGGTGGAAGGGCGGCCAGCGCTCGTGGTTCTGGGGATTGGATGGAGGTGTCTGCACCCCCTCCCCCATCCACCCCGGAGCCTGTCCTCCTCCCCCAGAGCCCCTGGGCGCCGACGCCTTCCTGCCCGCGCTGACGGAAGAACTCATCTGGAGCCCGCACATCGGGGAGACGCAGCTGGACGTGGAGTTTCTCATGGAGCTCTTGGATCCCGACGAGCTGCGGGGAGAGGGTGAGCCCCCACCCCGGAACGCCGGGTCCCGACAGGGGGCGCCCTGGGGCCGAACGGCCTCGCCCTGCGGCAGGGGTTAAAGGCGGGCAAACCGGAGGGAGACCGAGGGCCACCAGGGCAGCCAGAGAGCTGCTCTGACCACCCCTCCTGTCCCTAGCGGGGTACTACCTGACCACGTGGTTTGGGGCGCTGCACCACATTGCTCACTACCAGCCCGACGTGGGCCGCGCACCCCAGGGGCTCAGCTCGGAGGCCCGTGCCTCCCTGCGCCAGTGGCACAGCCGGCGAACCCTGCACAGGCCAGACAGACAGGACCGCGGAGACCAGGTGATCGCCCCTCCGGACTGCGGGTGGCGGGGAGCGCCGGACCCACTGCCCTTCTGACCCAGGCCCCTGCCCCTCCCCACAGGTCCAGCTGCCCTTTGAGGAGCCATGGGCAAGTGACACCGTGCCCGGAGACCAACTATGATAAGGGGTCCCTACACCCTCCTGATCCTCAGGCAAGATTCGGGGGACACCAGAACAGCACCGATTTCTGACCCCTTGCTGGTTTCGGTGCAAGGAGGAGGCGAGGTTCCCCGGTATAGACGCACCTCTGGGCCTTTGCACTGGCTACCCGGTTCTCTAGTAGTTATAGCGCTCCTTCCCTCCATTCCTTCAGGTCTTCAGGCAGGTGTCCCCTTCTCAGTGAGGCTCTCAAGGTCGCCCGTGTAAAACAGCATCTCCTCTGGTTTGAGCCTCCCAGGGGAGGGCAGAATAAGGCACCCCCCCCCAAGATATCCACCTCCTGATCCCCAGGCATCTGTGACTATGTTACCTTACATGGTCAAAGAGACTTTACGTATGTGACCAAATTAAGGACCTTGACATGGGGAAATTATTTGGGATCATCCTGTTGGACCGCATCATCAGGAGTCCTTTCTTCAAGGGGGGAGGCGAGAGGGTCAGAGTCAGAGGAGATGTGATTTTGCAAGCAGAGGTCAGAGTGATGTGGCCAGGAGCCAAGGCATGTCGAGAAGCTGAAAAAGACAGGGAATGGAAACTTCAGAAGGACCTCAGCCTTCGATTTTAGCCCCTAAGACCTGTTTCGGACTTCCGACCTTTAGAACGGCAAGATAATAAATGTGTGGGTTTTGAACCACTGCATTTGTGGTAATTTGTTACAGCAGCAACAGGAAGTTACTATACTCTCTTACCCTGATCTTTATTTTTTTTTTCCATAGAAATTGGCACTTCCTAACATACCATGAAATGTACATACTGATTGTGGTAATTATCCATGGTCTTCCCACCCCTTAGAACAGCACAGCACCTCCCAACAGAAATACCGTGCAAGCTAGATATGTCCTTCTAAGTATTCTAGGAGCTACATTGCAGAAAACTAAAAAAAATCAAGTGAAATTAACTTTTTAATAATCGGTTTGATTTTACCCAATATATCCAAAATGTGATCACCCCAACATGTAATCAGTATCCAAAAATTAGGGGTACCTGGCTGGCTGTCAGGGGAGCGTGGGACTCTTGATCTCGGGGTTGTGGGCTCGAGCCCCACATTAGGTGTAGAGATTACTTAAAAATAAAGAAAAATATTGGGGTGCCTGGGTGGCTCAGTTGGTTAAGTGTCCAAATTCAGCTCAGGTCATGATCTCACAGTTTGTAAGCTTGAGCCCCACGTCCAGCTCTGTGCTGACAGCTCAGAGCCTGGAGCCTTCTTCGGATCCTGTGTGTGTCTCTCTCTCTCTGCCCCTCCCTCGCTCAGGCTCCGTCTCTCTCTCTCTCTCTCAAAAATAAACATTAAAAATTTTTAATAATAATCTTTAAAAATATATCCAAAAATTATCGCGCTATTTAACATTCTTTTTTTTTAAATGTTTTATTTATTTCTGAGAGAGAGAGAGCATGAGCAGGGGAGGGTCAGAGAGAGAGGGAGACACAGAATCTGAAACAGGCTCCAGGCTCTGAGCTGTCAGCACAGAGACTGACATGGGGCTCGAACCCATGAACCACGAGATCATGACCTGAGCCGAAGTCGGACACTTAACCGACTGAGCCACCCAGGTGCCCCTATTTAACATTCTTTTTGTGTGTGTGCTAAATATTCAAACTCCAGTGTGTACTTTTTAAGTTTTTTTTTTTTTGAAGGAGAGAGAGTGGTCAAGCAGAGGGGCAGAGGGAGAGGGAGAGAATCTTAAGCAGGTTCCACGACCTCCCACCACAAAGTCTGAGGTGGGGCTCGATCTCACGACCATGAGATCATGACCTGAGCCAAAATCAAGAGTCAGACGCTCAACTGAGCCACCCAGGTGCCCCTTTTCAGATGGTTTAAGTTAAGGATCTTAAAATGGGAAGACTATTTTGGATTATCTGGGGGAGGGCTCCAAATGCCATCACATGTGTCCTTATAAGAGAGAAGCAGAGGGGGATCTGACCCCCACACAGAAGAGAACATCACGAAGTGAAGACAAGTGGAGGAAGATTGAAGACGTGGGCCTGGGGTGGGGGTGGGGGTGGTCACAAGCCCAAGAAAGCCGGCAGCCACCAGATGCTGGTAGAGGCGCCACCTGCTTCTCTCCTAGCGCCTCCAGAAGGAGTGAGGCCCTGTCAATGCTTTCACTTCAACCCAGTGATACGGATTCCAGACTCCAGGCCTCTGACACTGTAGGGCAAGGAATTTCTGTTGTCATCAGCCACCGAGTTTATAGTCATTTCTTACAGCAGCCGCAGGAAACTTACCAGTTATTCAGTTCTTAATATATTAAAAAAAAAAATGGGGGCGCCTGGGTGGCTCAGTCGGTTAAGCCTCCGACTTCAGCTCACATCATGATCTCATAGTTCGTGGATTTGAGCCCCGATGGTGTGGAGCCTACTTGGGATTCTCTCTCTCTCTCTGCCCTCCCTGACTCATGCTTTCTTTCTCTCTCAAAATAAATAAATAAAATTTTTAAATTTTTTATTTATTTCTGAGAGAGAGAGAGCGAGCATGAGCAGGGGAGGGTCAGAGAGAGAGACACATACACAGAATCTGAAACAGGCCCCAGGCTCTGAGCTGTCAGCACAGAGCCGGACGTGGGACTCGAACTCACAGACTGTGAGATCACCCCCTGCGCTGAAGTCAGACGCTTAACTGACTGAGCCCCCCAGGCTCCCTGTCAGTCTCTTCTTATAAGAACACCTTCTTAGTGCATCACGGCCGCCCATGTGACTTCGTTTTAACGTCATTAGCTCTCTACAGAGCCTTGCTCCATACACAGCCATACTCTGAGGAACTGGGGGTTTGGACTTCAACATATGAATTTTGTGGGGCGCCTGGGTGGCTCCATCAGTTAAGCATTCAACTCTTGATTTCAGCTCAGGTCATGATCTCATGTGAGTTCGAGCCCTGCGTCGGGCTCTCTGCTGGCAGTGCAGGGTGTGCTTGGGATTCTCTCTCTCTCTCTCTCTCTCTCTCTCTGTTCCTCCCTCACTTGTACTCGTTCTCTCTCTCAAAATAAATAAAATTAAAAAAAAATTTTTTTTAAACATGTGGGTTTGGGCGGGTGGGTGTCACAATTCTGCCCATACCAGGAAGTGACTGCCAGCTCTCTCCTCTGAATTATGATGTCATCCGTGGGCGATACTTTGAGACCCTGTGAAGAATGTGTCCCCAGCTGCCTTTCACCCAAAGCTTTCGGTACCTCTTCTTGTTCCTTGCTGAGTCGTCAGATGTATTCTTGCTGCCGGATTCTATTTATGACAGTTGATACTGGTTTTCCACCTCCTAGATTGAAATATTTCCTGTATTTTATTTCATTTTATTATTTTATTTTTCTACATCTTATTGTTAAGTAATCTCCACACCCAACACGGGGCCCAAACTCACAACCCTGAGATCAAGAGTCCCATGTTCTACCAACTGAGCCAGCCAGGCAGCCCTGACATTTCCCATTTAAATAAATGTGTTGAATTAAAAAAAAAAAAAAAATCTGTGGATTTCAAGGAAGTTACCGGTGAGTGAGGACATGGGTGATGTGTGACTACGTGGTAAGGCATGCGAAAGTGAAACGCACATGGTGGCAGCTTTGGGTGCCCCTGGTTGAGGGCGCTGGAGGCACACCCAGTGCCTTGTTCCTTCTGGAGCTCCGGGCGTTGTGCTGGACGCCTGCTCTTGGGGTCCCACTCCCCCGATGTCCCAAACCGGCCACAGCGTCTCCCCCAAACTGGCTCCTCCTCCTAGTCCCCATTACAGGGGCCCCTCGTGATCCCCCAGTCCCTGGACTAGAGCCCCGATCCTCATTCTGGACACCTCCCTCTCCTCCTCCTACGCACCCCAGCCCCCCCTTCCATCGCCCCCCATCCTGGTCTAGCCCAGCCCCTGCTGTCTCCTGCCTCCTCCCAGTCCAGAGGATCCCCTCCAACTCCCCCCCCACGTGGCAGCCAGAAGGCAATTTTAAAAATAAATCATAGAGGGGCGCCTGGGTGGCTTAGTCGGTTAAGCGTCCGACTTTCGCTTAGGTCATGATCTCGCGGTTCGTGGGTTCGAGCCCCGCGTAGGGCTCTGTGCTGACTGCCAGCTCAGAGCCTGGAGCCTGTTTCAGAGTCTGTCACTCCCTCTCTCTCTGACCCTCCCCTGCTCACGCTGTCTCTCTCTGCCTCCTAGAAATAAATAAAACATTTTAAAAAAATAAAAATAAAAATAAATCATAGATTCACCTCTCAAGCGGGAATTTAGGTTTGCAAGAGACACAGTTTTTTATTTCTTTAATTTTTTATTTTTTGATATCTAACTGGAGCCCTGGTCCCACCACGGGGGGAGGAAAGGTTAACCTGGGAGAAAAACGTAACCGTTTGTAACAGGCCTCCTCGCTGTTCCCGGCCCCTGCCAGGCACATACCCACCCCAGGACCTTTGCACAGCTTTCCTCTCTGCCCCGAACAGCTTCCCCAGATGCGTGCCTCTGACTCTCTTGCTTCTGGCAAAGTTTTGTTCAGGTGTCACCCTCTCTGTGGCTTCTCAACAAGTATCACCACCCTTCCTGTTTTCTTTTTTAATCTGATACTTTATATGCATTTCAGCAGTTCTCCAGCAGCAACTTGTTAAAAGCACAAATTCTAAAAATAAACCCTTGCACATAAGGTCAAACGATTTTCGACAAGGGTGCCCAGCTCATTCGATGGGAAAAGAACAGCCTTTTCCCCTGCAAAGGCGTGAAGTGGGACTCTTATCTAGCAACATAGACAAAAATGGACCTGAAATGAATCAAAGACCTAACTGGGAGAAGACCCTGAGAATAACAAAAGAGGGGAAAGCTTCGTGACATGGGATTTGGCAACGATTTCTCGGATATGACATCAGAAGACCAGGCGACAAAAGAAAAACGAAACTGGATGACAGCATAATGAAAAACGTGGGGCACCTGGCTGGCTCAGTCAGGGGAGCCTGTGGCTCTTGATCCCGGGGTAGTGAGTTCAAATCCCACGCTGGGGGTAGAGACTACTTACAAATAAATTAAAACAAAACAAAGAATTTAATATTAGAGACATCTGCGCATCAAAAGAAACCATCAACAGCGTGAAAAAGCAGCCCGTCCAATGGGAGAAAATATTTGCAAATCACACGGGGTTAATATCCAGAATATACACAGAATTCCTAAAACTCAGCAACAAGAAGACACTCCACTTAAGAATGGGCAAAGGGGGTGCCTGGGGGGCTCCTTCGGTTAAGAGTCCGACTTCGCCTCAGGTCATGATCTTGCGATTCGTGGGTTCGAGCCCCGCGTGGGGCTTTGTGCTGACAGCTCAGAGCCTGGAGCCTGCTTCGGATTCTGTGTCTGCCTCTCTCTCTGCCTCAATAGATATTCCTCCAAAGAAGATATATGAATGGCTAATAGGCACATGAGAAAATGTCATTTCTCACCAATCTTTCAGGGAATGCAAACCAAAATCACAGTGAGTATCCCACCTCATCAAGGAACACCCGTGTTCTGCCTGTACAGCCTCTGGCTGCCCCGATGTGATAATGGCTGACACGTCGTGGCTTGTATGCCTGTTTTAGGATGTCATCAAGAGAACATGACCTCTGGGTGACCCATGATCTGGACCTGGGCAATCAGAGGCTCCTCCCTCCCTCCCCTGACCATGGAATGTACTTCTGCACACTGTT